CACACGCGATTGTGAAAATGGTTGGTGACTGTTTTTATATCCTGACTGACCATTGCACACGCGATTGTGAATGTGCTTGGTGATTGTTTTTATATCCTGACCATTGCACACGCGATTGTGAATATGCTGTGACTACGTTGCTGTTGTCATTACACCATTTGCTGAGAGTAGAGCCGTAAAGAAAGACATTTTCTTCCTGTAAAAACATCCCCAAAAAATCAGTTATAGGCCGGATGTGATAGCATATTCCTTTAATCCCAGCACTTGGGAGGCAGAGGATGGTGGATCTCTGTGAGTTCAAGGCCAGCCTGGTCTACATAGTGAGTTCCAGGCCAAACATAGTGAGACCCTGTGTTCAAACAGCAGTGGATGTGACGCTCTGTGAGGGAGTGTGACAGGCTGTGGTCTTCCATCACCTTGAAGAGAACAGTAACTCCCTGCCCGGTACAGCTGCTGTCACAGCGATAACAGGTATCTCTATACAAGTATCTCTGTGTTTGTATGCAGTGGTGAAGGACAGTGCAGAGACTTGCCCATGAGACAGACACTCACTCCTCTGCTAAGCTACACCCCAAACAGGAACTACAGTTTCACATTACACGTAATGAGCAGTACATTTTGTGGAATAATGAAACTGATTAAATCAGCAGAGTTTGCAAAGTTTTTCTGAGAGTCTTCCTGGTGCTCACTGAATGAGTTCACTTACTTGCCTTTAATAGAAGAATTTTCCCCTTTCGTCTAGAACTTTGTTTGACTTCAAACATCAAAAGCCAGACAGTTCCATCTTATGACCAGCATCACTTTGGATTCTGGTACAGCATTGCTCATCCTTCTGTGATCTGTGTAAGAAGTATTCTATTCTCACTCCTACATGAAGTCATATGTTTATTATCTTGCTGATTACCTTGAGTTCCTGAAGGAAATGCCCAGCAAGGAGCTAGAGGGGGATGAGGAAGCTGCAAAGGGCTCGGGTGATAACGGGTTTGGTTCTCAGAAGCAGTAAAGCAGTATCTGGTGAAACCTTAAAAAAAAAAAAAAGTAGGCTAGCCTTGTCTACAAAGTGAGTTTCAGGGCCGGGCGGTGGTGGCGCATGCCTTTAATCCCAGCACTTGGGAGGTAGAGGCAGGAGGATCTCTGTGAGTTCGAGACCAGCCTGGTCTACAAGAGCTAGTTCCAGGACAGGCTCCAAAACCACAGAGAAACCCTGCCTTGAAAAACCAAAAAAAAAAAAAAAAAAAAAAAGTGAGTTTCAGGATAGGATAGCCAAGACTGTTACACAGAGAAACCTGTCAAGAAAGAAAGAAAGAAAGAAAGAAAGAAAGAAAGAAAAAACAAAAGAGAAAAGAGAGAAAAGAAAAAGTGCAGGTGCCTAGTACCTATCCAATAGGCCCTGCTTTTTTGATCTGGGATGAGTCCTGGGCTTAGATAAGCTTTAAAAGCTCTTTCTTTGTTTGTAATATGCAGCCAGGGTTAAAATACTCTGGTCTTTTTTTAAGTATAAACAAGTTTGTTACAGATGAGCATTTATAAGTTCCTTTTTAGACTATTGAAAGAAGCATGGGAAAATAGATTCTGAACAAAAAAAGGTTAGTTTTTACAAAGCACTTCTTTATGTTGAACTGTTCTTGTTTATTGGCAGACCGATGACAAGGGTGTCTTTTCGACAAACCTTTCTCAAGAATACCAACTGGCAGCAGAAACATTTAATTTGACCCCGTCTCAAGTGTGGGATCTGTCTTATGAATCCATCAGCTACATCTTCGCTTCTGACAACACCAGATCTGAACTGAGAAGTCGGTGGAATCACCTGAAGCCCAAGGTGTTCCACTTTTAAGCTGGGATGAGGTGAACTACTTCCAACAATATGTTGTTGCCAAGATCTGCCACATCCACTCAGTGAACTATCCACTACTTCCCTTGAAGTCAGGACCAAGTCTGTGTGGGGTCTTGACACCAGTAAGTGCTCAGTAATATCTTAGACTAAGAGCCCTGAGGCTTTGCATGCTTTACCACCATGCTGCTTGCTGGAGGACTGGAGGGTCGTTATATCCCTCATCCACTAGTAACTTTCTTTTTCAATTAGCACTCTCTTCCCGTTACTGATTGTTCGTCTTCAGGAAGACCTCTGTGTTTTGTTAGCTTTAATCAGACCCTCGCCACCTCTTCTAACCCTTTCAGGTATTATTCCTCAAGACAGTTGATGCCAGGCCACATTGCACACCACAGCCATTCGTGTGGGTGCCTTTTGTCAGGTGACCCTGTAGTGACAGAGCTAGAATCTGGATTTGCCCTTCTCATAATATCTTTAGAAATATATAAAGGGGATTGAAGTAATTACTTCAGTTTAAGAAAAGGAAAGAATTGCTGGCTCAAAGTGAGAAAGACATAAGGCTGGAGCTTCACTTTTAAAATCAGCTTCTATTCAGCTTTCATTGTGGAAGCTGCCAGGACTTTCACAGTGCCAGAACTCGCTGAAAAGATCTTTCTAGTAATAGTAGCATTGTGGCTTCTAGGGTTCTTAGATCTCCTATAACCCCATGCCCACAGGCATAGGCTTACATAAATACATATATACCATGATCACTTTAGCCAAAAACAAGGGACAACTAAGATTGGCTCTGCATGATAAGAAAAAACTTTAACAGATAACAGATGTCCTGGTTAGTTTTTTTGTTTGTTTGTTTTTTAACTTGATACAAGCTAGAATCATTTGGGAAGAAGAACCCTAAACTGAGAAAATGCTCCCACCAGATTGGCCTAATCAGTGCTTAATCAGTTGGTTGGCCCATCCCACAGAGGGTGATGCCACCCCAGGCAGGTGGTTCTGGGTGGAATAAGAAAGGAAACTGAGCAGGCGACAAGGAGCAAGCCAGTAGGCAGCACTCTTCCGTTGCTCCAGCTCCAGTTTCTGCCTCCACTTTCTAGGACAATGGACTACAAATTATAAGAAGAAATAACCCCTTCTTCCTCACGTTGCTTTTACTCATAGTGTTTTAACACAGCATTAAAAGCCCTGAAACAGTGCTTGACTTGCTCTCCTTCTTAGAATGCCTGTTTTTCCTGACCTCAGAGAAGCCTGATGGCACCCTTAATTCAGTTACTAAGGTTGAGACTTTGGTGTGTCTTTCTGTTAGGGTGCACAGTAGAAGGAGGTACTTAAACTTTCAAGTTCACAGATATGTGTTTTATAACCTTACATTTCTAACTATATCCATTTATACAATTTTTTTTTTTGAGACAGGGTTTCCCTGTGTAACCGTCCTAGCTGTCCTGGAACTAGCTCTTATAGACCAGGCTGGCCTCAAACTCACAGAGATCCGCCTGCCTCTGCCTCCTGAGTGCTGGAATTAAAGGCGTGTGCCATCACCGCCCGGTTTATACAGATTTTTAAAAAATCCATAAAATGTCACCCTTTTCCCACCAACATTTTTTTTTTTTTTTTGGTTTTTCGAGACAGAGTTTCTCTGTGGTTTTAGAGCCTGTCCTGGAACTAGCTCTTGTAGACCAGGCTGGTCTCGAACCACCAACATATTTTTACTGATTATTTGGGAGTTTCACATACTGTACCTTGATCCCATTAATCTCCCTGTCTTCCTAGGTCCACTCCACCTCCCTTTTGACCACCATCACCCGGCCTCCATGTACCCTTTAAAAGTGGTTTAGAAGCTGAGCAGTGGTGGCGCACACCTTTAATCTCAGTACTTAGGAGGCAGAGACAGGCGGATCTTTGTGAGTTCAAGGCCAGCCTGGTCTACAGAGCTAGTTCCAGGGCAGACTCCAAAGCTACAACAAAACCCTGTCTCAAAAAACAAAAAACAACAAAAAGTGTTACAGAATAAAAATTGACACAAAATTAGTGTGTATAATATATTCAATGAGAAAATATAGGAAAGTAGTTAACAGTGTTAAGGAAACATGGTGAAAGCAGGTCATGTCATTTCTACTAATACACATTTCTGTGCATGCCTCTTCCACAAAGACTGTAGACGGAACGGTTAGAGGCCTAAACCTCTTGCTCCCCTTAGTGCTTTCTTAGGCTTACTTTTTCTTCTCTCCACCCTCAGCAATGGCAGACTGGGCAGTATTTGTGAGGTAGTTTGAGATGACCTGGATCTTCCTCTAGTGATGAGAGTTCACCTGTTCGTTATATACAGCCTCCTCATTTGGAAGTTGAAGGGTCCTGTGTAATTTAAAACCTGATTCATTTTCCTTCCCCAGGTATCTTGATGTGATTGTAATTTATTCCTTTGCCTTCAGTGTAAAAATTCAGGCAGGTCACTAATAAATAACAAGAAGGGGGAAAAACAGAGAATTTTTTCCTACCGTCCACAATTTAATCAAAAGAATTTATGATTAAGCTAATAATTCTATATAATTTGCATATGTAAAATGTACACTGAAACACCTGAGAAACACAGAGCACTTTATAGACATAACTTTTATTAAGATGATATCCCTGAGAGGCAGATGTGCTGTAAACATTATTCTGCTTTACAGGAAGAGAAACAGAAGCAGTTAAACACACACAAGACATTTGGAACCATCTGTTTGCTAATACCTTTATGCCTTTTCCATATTATACATAGATTTATACTAAAAATAATAATCCTATTTTCCTTGACATTGCAGTTCACTTCCAAAGCCGTCTTAGATCCTGAGGCCTTGCTTTAGACAGGGTTTTTTGTACCTTCCTGCTTTCTTTGGTAGCATAATTGAGATACCATTTTTCCTTAGTTCTTTTTTTCTTTTAAAATATTTATTTATTTATTTATGATATACACAATATTCTGCCTACATGTATCCCTGTGGGCCAGAAGAGGGCACCAGATCTCATTACAGATGGTTATGAGCCACCATATGGTTGCTGGGAATTGAACTCAGGACCTCTGGAAGAGCAGCAAGTGCTCTTATCCTCTGAGCCATCTTACCAGCCCCTCTTTTTTTTTTTTTTTTTTTTTTTTTTGGTTTTCTGAGACAGGGTTTTATAGCTTTGTGCCTATCCTAGAACTAGCTCTTGTAGACCAGGCTGGCCTCAAACTCACAGAGATCTATCTGCCTCTGCCTCTGCCTCCTGAGTGCTGGGATAAAAGGTATGTGCCACCACCACCCAGCTCCTTAATTGTTAATGTTAGTTCTCTGTTTAGAATTTCTTAATACCAGAACCCTAATTAATTACTCATCCTAATAAATTTTAGAACAGTCTTTTCTCCTCATTACTACCTCAGATCTTAATCTAGCCGTGGGTATCTAATAAGAGTGAAAATGTGAAAGTTGGTTATTCCAGGTCTTGACCATCTTTTCTAACCTGCTCATCGAATATCTTCAATAGATGGTAATTTCTGATATTTCTCTCAAAAGAGCTAATCTCCTAAAATTCATTTTTCCCTGAGTCAAGCTGCCATCCCGTTGTCAGTAAGCTTAGCACAGTGCATCTGAGGGTCTCCTTCCACCACTCCTTCTCCGTTGATTCTCAGCCTACTGTACACCTATCATACATTCATTAGGTTTTTCCTGCTTCTTTAGTGAACTTTATACCTTTTATCCTGTGCTTCAATGTTTTCTCACTTTTTACCCACCTAGCACCGATTTTATAACTAGTTTTAAAAAGTCTATCTCACTATAACTTATCTAGTTACTTTTCTTCCTTTGAATGCTTACTGTTTCCTGAAAAAATACTTTCCAGATTTTTCTCAGAGCAAGCTAGCTATATTAAAACTTACGTCTAGTATAGTAACACTACTTAGCTTCCTAAATTTCTTTAAAATGGTTGCAGCCTGTCGTGATGATGCATATCTTTAATCCTAGGACTTTGAAGACTGAGGCAGTGAGATCTTTGTGAGTTCAAGGCCAATGAGTTCCAGGTCAGCCAATGCTACCTAGTGAAACCTGTCTTTAAAAAATAATAAATATTACCACTATATGTTTAGGCTTTCTGTATGTATTATCTGTTTTCCAGTATAAAGACAAGGGCAAGGACTGTTTACTTGTACAGGGATTATCATAAGTCTATGAATATGTGGGAATTAATTCAATACCACCTAATTTTGAACCCATAATTACTTTTGTGTTCAAGTAAATACTTTCATTTGTATAGCTGAGTGTGTACAGATTGGTAGCTCCACCATCCTCCCTGTCATTTAGGGTAAGTATATTTTACCTGTACATGGGGATATGGCAGGGGTTCTGCTCCTTGCAATTAGTACTGAGCACCCACAGGCTGCTCAATATAAATATATAATATATATATGTATGTATATATATAATTATGTATGTGGAGTGTAGGAAAAATAGATGACTCCTATTGATAGCTTTAACTGCTTTTTGTGTGACTATATCGATCTAGTTTGCTCTTTTGGCTTTTAGTCTACAAGGGAAAGATGAAATTTAGATGAAGGTGAGGAGGAAAGGAGAGAAAAGGGAAAAATCAAAGAAGATACTATATATATATATATATATATATATATATATATATATTACCCTTTGTAGAATCTAGAAGAAACTAAGAAATTCAGTGTTTATAGAAGGCTTACATTTTCCCCCTAACTTACCGTCTGTCTCTGTGTGTTACTCAGGATTGGACCCAGGTCCCTGTGCATACTAAGTGCTCTACTACTGAGCTACATCCCCAGCCCAGATTCTTGGGAAAAAAAGAAAAAAGACTTTCCTTAAAGATAAATGAAGAGTATACACAGGTTTAAGTGAGCAAGATGGCCCAACTAATGAGTAGTCTCACAACTTCTTTGAAAAACTGCTGAGATGGGTTTTCTGTTTGAGGTGCACAGGGTGAGTGGAAGACATACATGAGATCCACAGGATATACCACCATATCCTCTCGAGGGGAACAACACAGGCACCGAGAGGGAAGACATTAGTACTGTATCATTTCAGACCAAATCTACTTTTCATCTTAAAACCAGACATTTTGCTTGGCTAGATTTGGGAAGCATAAGGAACAAACAATGGCAAAGATCCTGAGGAGTGCTTCCTAAGCCAGCTGGGCACACAGAGGAGAGGACTTCCAAACAATACATTTGCTGAGGCCCTTCCTTGGGAGCTTACTTAGACATGGACTGTGACAGCAGCTGTTCTCGGGTATGGATCTCTCGGTGTTTATTAAGGGCAGAGGTCTTACTGAAGCACTTGCCACAGTCGTGGCACCCGTAAGGTTTCTCTCCTGTGTGGGTCCTGCGATGTGCACGTAAGTCAGAACTCTTGCTAAAACTCTTACTGCGGTCAGGACACACGTGGGGCCTCTCTCCCGTGTGTATCCTCCTATGTGCACTGAAATGAGAACTGTTATTGAAGCTTTTCCCACATTCCCCACACTGGTACGGCTTTTCTCCTGTGTGGGTTCTCTGGTGAATTATAAGGCTTGAGCTCTGATTGAAGCGTTTTCCACATTCCCCACACTGGTACGGCTTTTCTCCTGTGTGTATTCTCCGGTGGGTGATGAAATTGGAACTGTCACGGAAACCTTTCCCACAGTCCACGCATTGATAAGGTTTCTCTCCAGTGTGGATCCTCTGATGTCTGATGAGGCGTGCGCTTCGACTGAAGCTTTTCCCACAGTCAGCACATTTATATGGATTCTCTACCTGATGGGAGACCCGATAGATGAGATGGGAGTTTGGGTCAAATCTTTTGTCATATCTGAGATATTTGTAGGACCTGTCTCCCAAGCCTGGTCTCTGATAAGTCGGGACTGTACTGGTACTCTTCTCTGGGAATGCCAGTTTTCTTGTCTTCTCTCTCTGAGTCTTTTCCCGCTGGCTTTCTGATGAACACTCATTCTTAATAGCTTTACCTTGATTCATGTGACAGGGAATTTTCCTTTCAGCCCTTGCAAGTAATGTCCTATGCAGCTGTACTTCCTCAGAAATATCTCGTTTAAGATTCTGTTCGTTATCAAATCCAGCCTCAAAACCTAATACAAGAACACAATTCGAAAAGTCATTCATTTCCTTAATGTACCACAACAAAGCAAACCTGGGAGAAACAAGTATTACATTAGATGATTACAAATAAGTGGTCACTAAGTTCCACATTTTGAATTTATGAAAGGTGTGTGGTGGGAGCACATGGCTTAGCAGGTAAAGGTACTGGCTGCTCAACCTGATGAACTGAGTTCAATTCCTGGAACCCACATAGGGGAACAAGAACCAACTCCATGAATTGTCCTCTGATCTCAAAACATGTACCATGGTGTATGTGCCCCTAAGTAAATAAAGAAAAGTAAACACATGGAGTACTAGAGACGGTTCTGAAGTCAAGGGCAGGCACTCCTTTTGTAGAGGACGTGAGTGTAGTTCCCAGCACCAGTACCAGGTGGGCTCACAATCACCTGTAACTCCAGCTCTAAGGGGAGCTGATGCCTCTGGTCGCCTTGGACACCTGCACTCAGTCAGATGTGCATAGCCAACACATGGACAGACATAATTATTTGAAGTATTTTAAAATATTTTTAAATTTGGGTATGGTAGTGTACACCTTTAACTAGTACTTGGGGAGGATGAGACAGACAGATCTCTATGAGTTTAAAGCCAGCCTGGCCTATAAAGCAAGTTTCAGGCCAGCCAGGGCTACATAGTGAGACCTTGTCTCAAACAATAATAATAATAGAGTAGTAAGGCTTCTGTCCAAAAATTACTATATTAAGATTAAGATTCCAGTGTTTTTCTTCCCTATAGGACCTATCACATGCCTTTCATCTACATAATCTATACTGGAGCTGCTTGGTCTTTCTGAATACCCAGTACCTGTAAAGAAACTCAGAACAGCAAGAAGTCACTGGGTTTTAAAGAGGGCAATTTCTGTGTTTACAGACAAACACTATCCACACTGTCATTCTGCCACCTCTGGGTCATATTGTGCCAGTGATTAAAGGGCTTAGGAGGAAATGCCCAGGAACACTTCCTGGGAAATTTCTGTAACCAGAAATAGTTTTGATGAGTCCCCTCCCCCTCACATTCCAATCTCTGTTAGAAAAAGCAAAGCAGGGGGCTAGAGAGATGGCTCAGTGGTTAAGAGCATTGCCTGCTCTTCCAAAGGTCCTGAGTTCAATTCCCAGCAACCACATGGTGGCTCACAACCATCTGTAAAGAGGTCTGGCGCCCTCTTCCGGCCTTCATGCATACAGACAGAATATTGTATACATAATAAATAAATATTAAAAAAAAAAGAAAAAGCAAAGCAAAAAAACAACAGGGAAGAAAAAAACATGTGGCAGTGTTCAAAAAATAAAGGCTCTCAACAGAGAAAAGCTTCACTAGAAATTCTCTCCAAAACCTAAATGTTGCAAAAACATTGTAATTGAGCCCAAGTGGGAAACTTTTTAACATCCTAAAAAGAAAATGCCGGCCTTTAAGCCTAGGCTATGAGAATTTGCACTTATTCACACTTTCGTGTTAACTCTGGATCCTGAATTCCCTGGAATACTGAGTGTAAGTCTGTATGTATTCTATGTATTCCCTAGAAGCTTTTACTTGGAAACTGATCCATAAAATAAGAGATTTGCTAGATTGACTGAGATCTTAGAGTCTTTAAAATGTGTATTCTGCACCTCCAAGAGGGCTATTTAGTATTTTCCAAACTCAGAAGTCAACTTTTTTTTTGTAAAATATTGATGTTCAATGCAACATCAGAATGCTGATCTAAAAGTCTTACAAAGTGAAAACTAATGTTTATTGAATATCTACTATGTGCCTAGCACTGTGGTGGGTGCTTCATATAGTACCTCAGTTACATCAACCTTCGTTTCATTTTCAATGAGTGATTAACCCAGAGTTTGGGGCATGTTCAAGCAAGCACTCTATCATTAAACTACACGCCCAGCCCAAGATTTTTATACATATGCAAATTTAGGGGGTAAGTAACTTGCACTAAATCACTTGGCTAATATTGGAGATTGTCATACATGACTCCAAAATTAGAACTCTTGTTCCTACAATAAGGGAAACCATATTGAAATAATTTTTTTTTCTTATACAGCAGCTAAGATCTCAGTTAATTCCCACAGAAACCTGCAGATAAAAATTTCTCTGAAGGGGTTGGAGACAGACACGTCTCAGTGGTGCTCTTACAGAGAACCCGGGTTTGGTGCCTACACTGGGCAGATCACAATTGCCTGTAACTCCAGTTCCAATAGACACAACACACTCCTCTGGCCTTGAAGGGCACTGTACACGTGCTACATGTGCATCCACTCAGGTCCACATACATAAACATAAGATAAAATGTATCTGAGCCAGGAAGTGGTGCACGCCTTTAATCCCAGTACCTGGGAGGCAGAGGCAGGTGGATCTCTGAGTTCGAGGCCAGCCTGGTCTACAAGAGCTAGTGCCAGGACCGGCTCCAAAGCTACAGCAAAGCCCTGTCTCGAAAATCCAAAATAAATAAATAAATGTATCTGAAGAAAAGGCTTGTCAGGCTTCTACATAGCCTACCCTGACATGCTAAAACTAGAAGAAAAACATAGTATGATATGATTTGTAAAAATAAATTTCATTCTGCAGAATATGTGACATGCTACTTGGGAAATGTCCCCATTCCGATTAGCTGCCGTGCAAACTGGAAGCCTAGCAGCACGTGAAAGTAATAGCAAATCTATAAAATTTGCAAGCAGGTGATGCTGTCGTGTGCTGAAGGAAGCCACATTAATAATTTGCAGCTTTTCACTGAGCTGTTTTAATAGATAAGAAACATGGGGAAGAAGGGGTTGGAGAGATGGCCCAGTGGTTAAGAGCACTGACTGCTCTTCCAGAGGACCTGGGTTCAATTCCCAGCACCCACATGGCAGCTCACAACTGTCTGAAGATCCAATTACAGGGGATCTGACACCCTCACACCAATGCACATAAAATAAAGTTAAATAAAACCATAAAAAATAAAAGAAACATGGGGAAGAAAGAGAAGAGCTCAGGAAAGCTGGATATAGAGCTCATCTCTCCATCCCATGGTTTTTCTCCTAAATTCTATAGCCTCCCTTTTGCTATTTACACCATCAGAACTGAAAGAATCTTAGCCAGGCATGGAGGCACACACCTGTAATACCACCACTTAGGAAGTAGAGACAGGAGGATCAGGAGTTTAAGGGCATCCTTAGCTCTGCAGTGAGCTCAAGGCCAATCTAGGCTACATGAACCGTCTCAAAAAGTAAAAGAACCTTACCACTGGGGCTCTGGAATAAGACTGGGGCACGGGTTGTAACAGCCCCTGGGGGTATCTCAGTATCATCTTCATCATCTGAATCTTCCTCCTCTGTGTCCTCGGCTTGCTTCTCAGCTTCAGCCTCACTGATTCCCTGGAGGTAGCAAGAAGCTGTTTCTTTTTCCTGGTCATCACTAGGCAGGGCAGGAACTCGGGCACTCACCAAAGCATCCATTTCTTCAAAGAAGGGACAGGTTTCTGGTGCTTGGCCATTCCTGACTTTCTGATAGCTGGTTTTGAGGCTTTTAAACTTGGTCCGACATTGCTCTGGGGTCCTAAAGAAGCCATATTCCCATAATCTCTCAGCAACTGCATCATATAACTGGCTGTTGCGGTGACAGTTCTGTAGGGCTTTGTAGAACTGAGTCTCACTAAGAATTGCAAGGTAAGTCTTGGTTTCTTCATAGCCCCAGTGTACACCTGCACCAGAAGAGAGTTTTCAGCATCACTTAACCCAGAGCTTAGAGCCTTAGCTCTTCAGTCTCACTGCCTGCTTCAAGGAAAACCACTTACGCTGGAGACATTAGCTCAGAGTGTACTAAGCATGCGTGAGGCCTTGGGTTCAGTTTATAAGCAAAGGAGAGAGGGAAGGAGGCCACCTAAGCTCAGGTTCCTAGATTTAAAAGGTTCATGTTTCCCAAACCTATCCACGCATTGTTTCTATATCCTTGAGCAATTTCAGAGAACTTTATTAGGAACATTTAGCCATTTAAAGTCTTCAGTGAGACTGAAGAGCTGAGGCTCTAAAGCTCGAGGTTAAGGGATGCTGAAATCTCTCCTCTGGTGCAGCTGTGCACTGGGGCTTTGAAGAAACCAAGCCTTTTCCAGATGACTAAGGCAACACTCATATGCACTGTGATGGTTAATCTTCATCTACTGGGCATGTCTGTGGGGGTGTTTCCAGAAAGGGCTAGCTAAGGAAAGACCTATCTTGAATATGGGTGACACCATCCCGTGGGCTGGGGTCCCATGCTGAATTAAAAGGTAGAAAAGCGAAAAGCAAACTGAGCACCAGCGTGCATCACTCTTTTGTTTCCTGACTACAGATAGAGCAAGCAGCACTAGCTACTTCCTCCTCCACTGCTACACTGGGAGCAGCTGTCCCCACCATGTCCTCCCCAGCATGATGGACATACTCAAACTGAGCCAAAGCAGATCCTTCCTTCCTTAAGCTGCCATTGTCTGGTATCTTGTCAGTAACAAGAACAGTTAGCATAGACTAAAGTGTGTGCAGAGTGCATTTCTCTTCCCATTTACTAATCTTCCTGAAATTTTAGTCCCAACTAGAAAAATCACTCCTCAGGAAAAAAAGACCCACAATTGCTGTCAATCACAATGCATCATCCCTAACCTCTCTGGTAAATTTTCTCCATAACTATTTTCTTCCTAGAGAATGATTTAATATTTGATAGTCAAAGTGTAAAGTCCAATGTAAAGTTTCATAGCTTCAGAATCAATATTCAAAGTAGTCTGGTTAATTTTCGCATTTTTTTAAATTAACAAGTTTTTAAAATAAAAATTTAAATAATAATAATAAAAGATTTACTTAAAACTCCAAGGAGCTGCCTCTTTCAGAATCATACTGCTACCAAATTCCTATCTTGGCCTATCTTCATCTGTTACTATCTCCATTAAGCAACCCCAGCAAGACAATACCTGAAGGGTCCTACAGTCTGTACTCTATCAAGTCTGTACTTGGGTGGAGTACTGCAGAGGGCAGGGCGAGGCAAGCAAGAGCACCTGCTACACTGCAGGTCTCAGTGCCCTCAGGCAGGAACAGTCTCCTGTCTGAGGTACCCATGGAGACAGGGAAGGTTCCACACACCCCCTTCCACTATTTTCTACTTACGGGGAGTAAGGAGAAGAGAAAAGATCCAAATATGGGGAAAAGTGGAGAGGCATGAAAAGATGAGAGGAACAAAGATTATGAAAAGCTTTTGTTTCAGTCATGTTTTAGCTACATTATTTTTAAATCACTGTTTAAAAAGTAATAGAAATGGGGCTGGAGAGATGGCTCAGCAGTTAAGAGCACTGGCTGTTCTTTCAGAGGTCCTGAGTTCAATTCCCAGCAACCACATGGTGGCTCAAACCATCTATGATAAGATCTTGTGCCCTCTTCTGGCCTGTAGGCAGAACACTGTAAACATAATAAATAAATAAATAAATAAACAAACCTTTTTTTAAAAAAAGTAATAAAAACAACAAAGTATCATTTTTTTCAGTGAATCTGCTTTATAAACAGGAAAAGTATTTTAATAAAAAAATTAACCCCTTTGAAGACAGTTGGATTGTTTGGGTATATGTCTTTGAAAAATCTAAGTCTGAAGTTTGAGATGTAGCTCAGTGGTGTAGTGTTTGCCTAGTATGTGTTTAAGGCCCCAGGTTCAATTTTAGGCACTTAAACATTTCTCCTTTACTATTATCTCATTATTTGCTCACCGAAGAGAAGTATCTCTGCTCCCTATTAGAGTGGCCAAGCTGGCAGGTAACAATGCCTGGTTTCACTGTTCCTTAAACCTAATCCCAAAAGCCCTAGAATAGCTTCTTACCGCTCTGGCTTCGGAAGGGGACAGATGCAGGTGGGCTGTCACGGTCCTGGGGGACTGCCTCCAGGTCATCACTGTCAGACCCTTCAGCCACAGCCTCTTCTCCATCCTCAGGCTTCCAGGCCCTCTGTGCCGGCTCCTCGGTCTCAGTCTCCGTGCCTGCCTGGCCAGAATGGGAAGCGGCCTCTTCCAGGCTATTAATGGGCAGTGCAATGACCTGGGCACTCATCAGAGCTTCCATCTCTTCAAAGAAAGGGCAGGTATTAGGTGGATGACCACTCATGACCTTCCTGTATCTCTTCCGAAGACCTTTGAACTTGGTCCGGCACTGTTCCAGGGTTCGGAGGAAGCCATACTCACGCAGCTTCTCAGCTACAGCTCCATACACTTGGCTGTTCCTATGACAGTTTCGTAGAGCTTCATAAAATTCAGTCTGACTGAGAATTGCAAGGAGTGTTCTCGTCTCTCTGTAGCCCCAGTGCACACCCACCACCTTCTCATCATCAAAACCCCAGTGATCCTGTTCCACCCAGCTACTTCTCTCTCTCTGGGATAGGAATGGATCAGTATAGACTTGTTTGTCTTCTGTGCTGTTGCCTTTTGGGACATCTTTCTCCTTGGAGCTGAGCTCTGGGGTCCATGGCTCTCCTTGATTCAACCTGGAGACCACATCGGGTTTAGGAACTGATCCTGTTTGCAGGGAAGAAACCAAAGTGTCATAGTTTGGACTGATCATAAAAACAACAATAAAACTTTCAAATCAGCCCTGCCTTTTTCATCGAAGGAATTCTATCTTTGTTTGAAATGGGGTCCTGTATAGCTCATGAACTTCTGCTCTTTCTGCCACTGCCCAAGTGCTGGGTTACAAGTGTGCACACCATGCTGAGTTTGATGGAGCGCTGGGGTCAAATAAGGTCTTGTGCACACTGCACTCTACCAACTGAGCCACATTCGCAGCCTCTAAAAATTATAAAGGAGATGCTTTCACAAAGTTCAATGAGTTGAAAAAACCTCAGAGGATGAAAAAGAATTTGATTTCTGTTCTAGAGCAGAACAAGAAGAGAAGAAACTATTCTACTGTGTGTTTAGAGCAGGTATTTCCATTCCAAGCTGCTCCCTGGCCTCCACACTGCTTGTGTACAGGTGGTAGCAAATCTCCATTAGTCACTCCTGGCTCCTATTTTGTTCACGTGAGTCCTGAGAATTAGATTCAGTGATTTCAAAAGGCTGGGGGTGACAGTGAGCCTGTCTTCAACTTGACTCTGTTTCACACTCAGTCACCAAATTCTAAGTGTTTCCCTCAGCACCTCCTCCCCTCCATCCAAGTGCAGACCCTTAATCCTCCCACAGCAGGCCACAGCGGTCACTGTCCTGCTGAACCTTAACTTTGGTATCTAGAAAGTTCATCCATTCTTGTTCTCTTCAGAGTGTGGTACTTTTATTCACCCGTGCCTCCCTTCCTCCTGTCCACGCTCACCCAGCGTTTGGGAAGCGCCTTGCCAATGCCCCCAGAAGGTGTTCCCTACAGCCCCATCTCAAGGCTACACTGCCAATCCCTTACAGAACAACTAAGCAAGTCCTTAACACTGTTTTCAGACAGTTAAGTGCATTGTTATGTTCTTATCTCTTTGATAACAGGTACTTTAAAAACTTTCATTGTGTGTGCATGATATATGTGGGGTGCATGTGCTATAGTCGCTGGAGGTTAAGGACTATATGGACTTGCTTCTACCCAGGTCATCAGACTTGTGCAGCAAGGACCATTATCAGCTGAGTCAGCTTACTGGCCAACAGGTACCTTTCTTACTGCACTGCATGTACCCTGCAGCACATGGTAGGTGTTTAAACTAAAATCTGATTATTCTGCAGGTCCCTATGTTGAGGCTGAGGTATCTGCAATGGATGGCTAAAGACCATTATCACACTAACCAAGAATGTTATTACTGTCATCTTGGATGATAAGATCAGAATTCAAAACAACTTCAACAAGTTTTAAATAATAAACACAAAATGTAGTTCAAAAAAGCACAAAGAAGAAAAACAAGTTCTAAAACATCAAGTAGAAGTGACTGGGTGCAAAGGCACTAGAGCCCAGGAACCCCTGGTTACATATGGGCTGTACTGGAAGAAGACATTGCAAATTTGGAAGTAACATTCTTACTGTTTTTACATAACAGACCTCCCAGGAATAATGCAGATGTAATTTCATTCTCCACAATTAAGGTATTTAGAGAACTTCCACAGAGAGTAAGAACTTAGGTCTAAAGAATGGAGACAATTAGAGGAGAAGAGAAACAACTATAAGAAAGGTATCTTGAGTATAGGAAAGAATATATCTAGAAAATAAGCATCTATCACCAAGGCATAAGATTATTCTAATTATACTAAAAACTAGGCGGCTGTTCTCTGGAAGAAATCTAAGAATACTCACTGTACTAGAGGGTTGAACTACCTTAATTCAAAAGGCCCCAACAACCACAGAGTCGACAGTTTCCACTATTTCAGAACCCCTTTCCCACTCCCTGCTTCCCAGTGTAGAATGGCTCTGTCTTCTCACAAGTCACTCCTCACCGCTCCTTTGGCAAGCTCTGAGAGTCTCCAGGTTCATCTGCTTCTGTGGTCCTGGGGCTGGGCCTCTTGCCCGCTTTCTCTTGGATACACCCCTGGGCTGGGGTTCCACTGACTCCTGAAGAACACCTAAGAACTCCTGTGATGATTTCAGAGGTGTCCTCTTCTCCGAGGAGACTGTGACCTGAAAACAATCCCCATTCCCGGGGAGATTATTTAATATCCCCAAAGAGACCATGCTTCTGAGGCAAGAACAGAATGTTAGGTAGGGGTGGGGCGATTAGGACAAAGAAGTGTTTATTCCATTATCATTAGTTTACAGTGGCTTGAACTCCAGAAAGAAAATAGAAACCCAATTACCAGCTGGGGGAAACAAAAAAGAAAGAAAAAAAACCTTTACATTTCTTCTCTATTAAGAAATTAAACTGAGCAGTGGTGGCGCACGCCTTAAAAATCCCAGCACTTGGGAGGCAGAGGCAGGCGGATCTCTATAGTTCGAGGCCAGCCTGGGCTACATGAGCTAGTTCCAGGACAGGTTCCAAAGCTACAGAGAAACCCTATCTCGAAAAACCAAAAAAAAAAAAAAAAAGAAGAAGAAGAAGAAGAAGAAAAGAGAAAGGAAAAGTGGAAAAAGAAATTAAGAAGTCCAACTGAGCTGGGCGATGGTGACGTACACCTTTATTCCCAGCACTCAGGAGGCAGAAGCAGGCAGATCTCTGTGAGTTCAAGGCCAGCCTGGTATACGGAGTGAGTTCTAGGACAGCCAGGGCTGTTACACAAAGAAATCCTGTCTAAAAATACAGAAGACAACAACAAAAATCGAAGTGAGAGATGCACTGTAATAGAGTGGGCAGAAGTATACCCAGCTGGCATCTCCAGACAAGCCCTCCTAAAGAAGTAACCCTTCCCGACGAGAGTAGAAAAATCACCAAACCTCTTTCCGCCCGTCTGATCTTTTAACTGGCCCTCCCAGCCACAGACTTCTGAATTCCCCCTTCTTCTCACCGAATGCCCAGGTCGCCCAGACTCTAAGCCTTCCACCAGCGTCACGGCCTCCTCTCCGTTCTCCGGACATTGCTTTTGTACCCAGTTCTGGATTTCCCCAGGCAGCACCGTCAGGAACTGCTCCAGCACCAACAGTTCCACAATCTGCTCCTTGGTGCGCACCTCTGGCCTCAGCCACCGGCAGCAAAGTTCCCAAAGTTGGCAGAAGGCCTCGCGGGGCCCAGCCACCTCCTGGTAATGGAATCTCCTGAAGCGCTGTCTTAAGCATTCAGAGTTAGTGCCGTTTCCTCGCAGAGTGGGTTTGGCCATCCTTCGCCGCAGAGAACAGTTTCCTCTTTGCTTCTGGGTTCCAGCCTTAGTTCACGATCTCCCCATGTCCCCGCAGAAACAGCTGCAGCCGAGTCTCTCTGTAAAAAGGAGTTTCTTCCTATCAGAGGAATATCTCCACATGTTTAAAGTCTTGCCAGAGTCGGCCTGACTTTCCGTATGCTCCAAGTGGTCTTTGGAGGTAGTGCCATTTCAGGACAGCAAATCAAGAGCCAGGCGAAAATGATCTTTCAAAAGCTGTAGTTCTGGGTGCCGACTAGGGCATTCCTCGGAAGTGGCAGAGAACAGAAAAGCCCGTCTACTTTACTCTAACCTCACCTAAGTCTGATCGCGTGTAGCGCACTTGACTTAGATCAGAGCTGTAGAGTCAACTCGAACTGCACGGGACCCCAGGCGGACGGTAGCAGGGCGACACTTGGCTGACAACAAAAGCCTCTGTCCAGCGGGGGGGCGGCTAATCTTCCCCGAACCTCCTCGGTCCTCCCGGAAGCCCCAGGCGTCCGCCCCGCCCCCTTGGACGCCAAACTACGAATTTCCAGCCCGAACCAAAGTCAAGTGCGGAACATTGGGTCTCTCGTTTACTCCTCCCTGCTGAAATAAGAACTCAGCAAGAGTAAGAGAGCGGCAGATGGGCAAGCTCACGCTCGGGAAAGCTGACTTGGGCTTCTACACTCAGGTGGCCTTGGGGAAGGGTCACAGGAGTTGGTGAAGCGAGGCGGCCCGAGAGGAGGCAGTAGTGGGTCTCCCGAGAACGAAGCCGGGGCTGGCCAGTGCTGCGAGCCCGTGGGCTCCGAGCGCTGCCCCACAGCGGCGGCTGTCAGGTTCCGGCCTCTTTGTCTTCCGCCCTCTGGCCGGGTCAGTCGGTCAAAATGCCACAGACCCTGCCGAGGCGTCCCGAGCACTCCCTCCGGCCCAGCCCTGGCCGCTTCTCTCAGCCTGCCTGTCAGCTCACTAGCATCCCTCTCCCTGGGCCGGCCTCAACCACTCCGGTCGGGCTAAGACCAGCCGTGCTCGCCAGCAGCCCCAGTACGGCTCTCAAGCCGGAAGTCCGAGCGAGCCACCCCGGGCTCCCCAGACGCATGCGCGACGGCACCTCCGGCTCCTCCGCCGCGCTCCGTGGCGGGAGCGAGCGGGTGGGCGCCCCCGAGCCGCGCGCACTTCCGGGACGCGGCGCGCAGCCCGGTGACTGCTCGGCGGGCGCGCGGTGGTCTGCGGGGTGTCTGGGCGAGCGAGCGGCTCGGCTGGGTGTGAGTGGGCGCCCGCAGAGGCGCTGAGAGAAAAAGGCGGTAAATCTCAGGACTCCGAGGCCGCCCCAGAAATGATTCACGAACTGCTCTTGGCGCTGAGTGGGTACCCAGGGTCCATTTTCACCTGGAAGCGGAGTGGCCTGCAGGTACGGAGGGGGGGGGGGGGGGAGAGGCTGGGACGCTGCAGTGCAGCGGGTGCCACAGACCCCGGGAACGCCGGCTGACCGTGCCCGCGAGTCGTGAGAAACCGGAGCCATCCTGACACAGCTCCGCCTTTGGCGGGGAAGCCGGCCCTGCGGTCCCTGACTCCTGGCAAGGGAACCACTACGAGTGGTAGAACTGTCCTTTTTTCTGCATGTAAACTTACTGTTAAACCGAATCCCTGAATGTGTATCTGGAATTAGAAGATGGTTTATTATTAAAAAGGGAGTAGGGTGCCCCCGTATATTCAAGCTTGCATTGTTTCAAACTGAGTTTTGAAAATAGTGGAAACACATACAGAGCTCAAGGCGCTGTAAACACACAGTACGTTGTGTTGGGTGAAAAAATGAATTTGTAAGAGTATGGCGTTTCCCTCCTTTCTTCGGAAGTTTCCGTACCAGGTGAAGAACTAGAAAGAGCTTTTCCTGTATTCAGAAAAGTGCAAGAGGAATGTGTTCGCTCTGTCTTCTCTTTTCCTTCTCTTCTCTTTCCTTCCTTCTATCCTTCTTTCCATCCATCCATCCAGCTTGACACAAGCTAGAGTTATCTGAGAAGAGGGAAACTGCCTTGAGAAAATGCCCTTCGTGTTGGCCTGTGGGCAAGCCTGCGCTGCATTTTCTTTATCCAAGGCAGCTGTAGACGCCCAGTGCGCTGGGGGAGGTGGGAGTCCCTCAGCAGGTGGCCTCGGGGGCGGTTGAGAAAGCCCGCTGTGCTTGCCAGGTGGAGCCGGCCAGTAAGCAGCATTCCTCCATGCTCTCTGCTTCAGTTTCTGCTCTGATTTCCCTTCCTGAAGGACTGTAAGCTGAACTATAAACACTTTCTTTTGTCACAGCAATAGACTCCTAACTAGGACCGGGAGACTGAATATAGGGCAGTGTGCATTGTCTCATGGCAGCGTACAGCCATCTAGTGCAGAACGCTAACTCCCAGGGTCACATTTGTTAGTCTAGCGGAGTCTTGAACAGAGGTTTGTCTGGCTCCACTCTCGGAACTGTTAGCATATTCTGCTTCCATTACTGATGCCTGGTGCTCTCAGTAACCGAGTAACTTAAGTATTGCTTGTTCCAGCTTGTGAATGCATAAATCTGAAGCTTGGATAGCTATTTGCTGACTAGTTGCTTCAGTTCTAGAAATTAAGATGTATACAGTGTTCTGTCTGCATGTATGCCTGCACACCAGAAGAGGGCACCAGATCTTATTACAGATGGCTGTGAGCCATCATGTGGGTGCTGGGAATCGAACTCAGGACCTCTGGAAGAACAGCCAGTGTGCTCTTAACGTCTGAGCCATCTCTTCAGCCCTGTTGTTTTGTTTTGAGGCAGGGTTTCTCTGTAGCTTTGGAGTCTGCCCTGGAACTAGTTCTTGTAGATCAGGCTGGCCTCGAACTCCCAGAGATCAGCCTGCCTCTGCCTCCTGTGCTGGGGTTAAAGGCATGCGCCACCACCACCCAGCATGGAATTCTTCTTTTAACTAGTGTATGTGTGCATGATATGCAAGGGTGGGCATACATGTCCCAAAGTGTATGTAGAGGTCAACTGGGGAATCAGTTCTTTCCCTCTACTATTCTGTGGGTTCCAGGGATTGATTTAGGTCTTCAGGTTTGTGTAGCAGATACCTGATCCTCTGAGCCCTCTCACTGGCCCTAAACCTAGATCTTTTCTAAAACTGCCAACAAGAAGTATTCAGAGATATCATTTGATAACTGTGTAGAAATGTCTTGTTAGTAATAAAAAACAAATATCTGTAGTGAGCACTTTTTTTTTTCTTTTTCTTTTTTTGGTTTTTCGAGACAGGGTTTCTCTGTGGCTTTGGAGCCTGTCCTGGAACTAGCTCTGTAGACCAGGCTGGTCTCGAACTCACAGAGATCCGCCTGCCTCTGCCTCCCGAGTGCTGGGATTAAAGGCGTGCGCCACCACCGCCCGGCTAGTGAGCACTTTCTATGTGATTAACGCATGTGCTTTATATGATTTAATTATCACTTTACATATGAAAACTAAGACATTGAGAGGTACCATAGCTTGCCTAAGCTTTCAAGCAAGACATACTTTGAGAATACAAACCAAGGGAGTCTCTGTCTCTTTCTCCCCCCGCCCATGTGTAGGTAGGTCAGGGGACAACTTGGAAGAATTTCCTACTATCCTGGAACTCAAACTCAGGTTGTCAGGTGGCAAGCATCATTACACATTGAGCCGTCTTTCCAGCCCTTAGCATGGGAATTCTTTACTATATGATACCTATTTGAAGAACAAGCAGTCACATCTGGATAAGGAACTCTACCTTGTTTAACTGTTTTGTTACCAGAATTACCAGCCTGGTGACAGGGAGCGTTAAAGTAAAACCATGATACTTTAGGAAAGGAAATGGAAGAAAGAACGTGAAGCATTTTAAGCCCCACAGAACCTGGCTGGCGACTAGCTGGCATCAGCTTTTCTTTATGACTGTCCCTCTTCTTGCAGGTTTCCCAGGACTTCCCATTTCTTCACCCCAGTGAAACTAGTGTCCTGAATCGACTCTGCCGGCTTGGCACAGACTACATTCGATTCACGGAGTTCATTGAACAGTACACAGGCCATGTGCAGCAACAGGTGGGATGCTGTTCTCTGGATATGTGCTTCTACAGGGCAAGGGTGTGAATTCACTCAAAGTAGGAATTAGGAATTTGTGGAATACATGTGAGTTTATCAATCACTGGAAATGCTCAAGAGAAGGCAAGATTTCTCATTGCTTTATTCCTGGGTAAGAACAACAAAAATTCTGTCCTATTGATGTGTTGTACACAGATTTTATATTACATGACATGAGAATTCCCACTTCTCCAGTTCTAAAGGAAGTCCTAATAGTGCTTTAAAAAAAAAAAGTGAAATAACAGCCACACCAAAACCCTTTCTTTTCATTTTGTGATAGATGAAGACTCATTTCAGTTTTCTGTACTACCATAAGATCAGAACAAAATGGACTGGTTGTAAACCGTCTGCTTGTGTCCATGCTATAAACATTTATCTTTAGGAACGTCAGGATCCTTCAACTAGCATCTTCTGGCTGGCGACTCTGTGCTTTCTAACCCCTGACCCCAAGCTGCTTTAGCACATCTGATGCTGAATTCTGTACTCTTGCCTTCCACTCTCAAACCTGGTTACCCAGATCTTTACCTAGCAAGAGGGGCTGAGCATCCTTCATAGACTCCAGCTAACTTTAACCATTGATTCCTCATATAAAACTATATGAGAAGTTTTATATGAAACTGACCAAATTCCCTAGACCCCTCCCTCCAAAGAATAAGTGATCAAGACTACTGAGAGTCACTTGCAGACAAGCCCAGCTGCCTGGAAATCAGCAGGGACCGGCCACACAACTTGAAGAGTTCCTGAAAGACAAGTCATATTGTATATAATGCTTCAGTGAGAGTCTCACAACCCCCAGATTGGCTTTCAGACTCACAAGATACTGGGCTTTTTGTTTTTGTATTTTGTTTTTGTTTTTTTAATATTTACTTTTAGTCAGCAGTGGTGGGAAATGCCTTAAATACTAGCACTTGGAAGCTAGAGGCAGGTGAATCTTTGTGAGTTAGAGACCCACCTGGTCCAGAATGAGTTCCAAGACAGCCAGAGGTACACACAGAAACCCTGTCTCAAAAAACAAGACCAAAAAAAAACCTATTCCGTGTGTATGAGTTCTGCTTGCTGCACATATGTGTACCATGTGCATGCCTTAAGCCTGCCCATGCCGGGAGGTATTGGTACCCCAGGAATACAATTTAAACGTAGTTATGAGCTACCATGGGAGGACTCACCTTAAGACAGGAAGTCGGTAACTCAGAATAGCTTCAGGAAGTCCCTGAAGCCGAATTCACTAGGCCCCTTCCTCTGAAGCAGCCAGAAAGAAGCAGGAAACAGCTGAGCTGCCTAGAAGAGGTTCAGATCAACCGAGCTACGTGGACAAAACAGTCCAACCTGTTAAGCTGCCTAAAGGCTGCAGAGGGTGCTCCAGGTTCTCAGCTTTTTGTCACCCATTGTAGTATGGGGTTTGGTGATATAGCTATCTTTGACATTTCTCCTCCTGTAAGTAATAGCTCACTCATATTTCTGTCAATAACCCCATGAAACTGATTGGTTAACCAAGTCAGATGTCGGTAGTATCTGTACTTTGTTCTGTCATAGGCTCCCTATCCGGGGTGAGTAGGTTGTGTGTGTGTGTGTGTGTGTGTGTGTGTGTGTCTCTGTGTGTGTGTGTGTGTTGCATCTCCTCAGGAAAAGTCTTGTCACACAACAGATGCTGGGAACCAAACCCTACAGTAAAATCTTCTCCATACCATGGGGCCAGTCATGTTGGCGTTTCTTTACTGCACCCCTTAGCATATGCTTATCTTCAGTTGTTTTTCCATTTTCTCTTGCTAAAACACGGCTTTGATACAGGATTATTTAAGTAAACACAAGTACTGCTAATTAAAGAGTGTCTTCCTCAGGTTCAGGGTCTGAGCTGAAAAGTTGACTTCTCTTTGTTTATTGGCAGGATCACCATCCATCCCAGCAGGGCCAAGGCGGGCTCCATGGAATCTACCTGAGGGCCTTCTGCACGGGGCTGGATTCAGTTTTGCAGCCTTATCGCCAAGCCCTGCTTGACCTGGAACAAGAGGTGAGAAGGAGGTAATATAGGAAACAGTATCTTCGGGGGATTGTAGAGAAGAGCATATTCCTGCTCTGAAGTGGCCTTTGATGAGGTCAGGTAGTTAAGAGTGAACAATTTCCTGTGTGACTGAAGGGTACAGTATTCAAAGTGACTCCAGAGTGGATTTGTGAGAGCCTTAGTTTTAGATTATTATCTAAAAAGTAAATCTATAATCTATTAATTCTTCAGAGCTCAAAATGAACATTGAGCTCATTGTCACATTGTCTTCTAATTTATATAGAGCAAATTAATTCAAGTTATTTTGTGTGGAATTCTGATGACTGTGCTTTTATTACAGTTCCTGGCTGACCCACATCTCTCCGTATCACATGTCAATTACTCTTTAGATCAGGTATGCATCCGAATGCTAAAATGCTTTGGAGTCTGTTGCTCTCCCAATTTGTGGAACTATAGTAAATGTTTTTTTTCCTGAAGGTATCAGAGCCAAAAAATATATTTTGCATGTTTTATTGCTAGATGAGAACTGCTTTAAGAGTGTGGTATACGTGGCATCTACCTGTCATCTCTGCTCAGGAGGAAAGGGCTAACCTGGTGTACAAGTTTGCTTCAGTGAGCTCTGGGCCAGCTAAAAGAAAAACCCAAACAACAAAGAGTTTCACATTTAATTACTTCTTAATGTAATGTGAATATTCTCCCATTGACATGAATATTGGCAGTGGCACCAGACTCAAAAGTAGAAAATTTCTTCTGTCCTCCATTTTTCTATCTGTAGCCAATCCTGATGTCAGATTGCCTTAGGGAACTGGATCTTGATACTGCCGTATTATCTTGGAAACAGAAGTGTTTCTTGAGTTGATATTTTTTTTTAATGCTGTATTTGATTCATACCCTTAAATTTTTCTACTTTGCAGTTCCAGCTCCTTTTCCCCTCTGTGATGGTTGTAGTGGAACAAATTAAAAACCAAAAGGTAAGAACTTTTCTTCTGTGATAAGCTCCAAAGGAAAACTAATAATGCTGTTTTACAGTCTTTGTTAGAAGACACTTGCTCTTAATATTTTTTTATTTATTTAGTCAGCATTATCCCTTTGCTTATCATATGAGATGTCAGAAACTCAAGAACTTAAGACATTATTCTTTCTTTAAACACCTTGTGATTAATAAAGCAGAATATCCAGGTGGTGGTGGCACATGCCTGTAATCCCAGCGCTTGGGAGGCCAGCCTAGTCTACATAGTGAGTTCCAGGGCTACACAGAGAAACCCTGTCTCAAAAAGCCAACAACAGAAAAGCAGAGTGTGTGGATCTACCTAAGAATGTTGTTGAGGTTAGAGAAAATACTCTGGTTTTGTGGAGGTGAGAGCTGGCTGCACTAACGGTTTGGAACCACTGGCTTTGGATTAGGATAGGAAATTTACTTCTTATAAAAGAAAGAAGGTGGTTTCCCGAGTGTAAATAGAGATGGCTCTTTCGTTTCCTGACACCCAGACTTAAATAATCACACAGAAACTATTATTAATTACAACACTGTTTGGGCAATGGCTCACGTGTATTTCTAGCTAGTTCTTACATCTTAGATTAACCCATTTCTATTATTTTATATTTTACCACTAGGCTTGTGGTTTACCTCTAAGGTTCTGACGTCTTTCTCCTTTGGCACCTACATGGCATCTCCTTGACTCTGCCTATTCTCTCTATATATCTCTGTTCAGATTTCCCACCTGGTTTTCCTCTGCTGAGCCATTGGCCAAAACAGCTTTATTCATCAATCAATAAAAGCAACACATATACAGAAGGACATTTCACATCATTTCCCTTTTCTGTCTAATTAAAAGGGAAGGCTTTAACTTTAGCATAGTAAAATGACATATACAAAACAGTTATTAAGCAAGGATTATAGCTAGGATATTTAGTCTATTTACATATGGCAAATTAAGGAAAATATCTATCATCTTTTTGAGCCTAAAGTTTTATATCTAATTTATCTTTTATCATAACTAACGAAAACTATAATTATAACTATCTAGTCTTCAATTCTATCAATGACCCCAGAAGGATATAATATTACCTAAGTAAGCAGGAAGTATATTGTAAACAACTTCCAGAACTCTAGAATTGGCAATCTCACTGCCTGGACAGTCACACAAAGTTTTTCTGTAACATGGGGGCATTCATCTTCAATAGTAACCAGCAGACTTTTCCCTGAAGCAGGAAATTTGAAAGACTATTTGCTTATATTGGCAGTTTGTCAGTCACTTTCTTCTGTATCCTGCAGAATGTCTGGCAGTTTCCTCTGTGAAGCAGGCATCCTGACGGACCATCACATCTTTTGGAAAGTTTAGCAGTTTTCTTTGGGTCCTGCATGTCCTGTTCATACAGCATACCATCAGGCAGTCCAGGCAAGAGCAGTTTCTTGTCCAAATGACTAGCCTTGTCACACTGAAGGAAAATTCTATAATGAGTTTATGTCCATCAATTGTTGCTGCCAGAAACAGACATGACTCACTGTCAAGAAAAGTCTAAGTTCTTAAAATCCTTTAAATGCCACATTCTGTAGGTCTTTGAAGTGTTGAAGGTTATCTGACTGAAGTATATCTAGAAAACCTAACTAACGTAATTAAAAGTTTGATTATTATAGATGACTGTCTATATAAATCTATATTTCTTAACTATACATTACATTTTAAATGAGCTGCACAAGCAATACCTTAAACAAGAGCAGAAATACATATACAAGTTTAACAAAATTGACCTTAAATTTATATCAGTAGACCAAGATCCATACCAATGCAAAGTATTCATCTCTCTGAGAGTTCAGAACTACTGGGCAAAATCCAGCTTGTTGTTTTCATTCAGGAAATTGTCACAAGTTTCATCACATATTGAACTCCCTCATGTCAGAAGATTGTCTTTTCTGGGTGGAATTAGCATCTATGAAGAAAAAAATGCTTTAGAGATTTTATACTGTAAGAATTATTTTCTTTTGTTTACCCATTATTGGACTAAGTAGACAAATGAATTAAGCATTCTCAGCTCCATGGATTTTGGCCATTGTATCTGTGCCTTAGGTTATTATTTGGTGAGTATAGCTGGCTAGCTGGCTTACCCTGTAGTTGTCGTACTTTTTCAGTGAGTGCAGAAATTTAAAGCTCTGCTACGTTGATTTTCTGCTGCCAAAGTCAGTAGGAAAGTACTTCAGAGCTGACCGTCCTCATTAAAGTATATTATTTTTGCTTTGTCCCATACACTATGTTAAGGGTTTTACATATGTGATTACATAGGCTCAGGGTCACAGACAGCAAAGTAAATAGCAAAGTTTGTGTAACTCAAAGACCATGCTCATAACCAATACATTAAATTCACAAAATAGGAGGGAACCTTCTACATGAAATGGAGTTAATAGTGAGGGTACAGAATTCCATGCCTAGCTGTACATCTCAGTTTACTTTCAGCCCCCTTTGACTACAGGAAGAATGGGGGACAAATAGAAGGACTTAGATAAGGGAACTTTCCTTTCCAGCCAGGTAGTGATGAAGGAACTAGCTCCACAGTTAAAAACTAAGGTGGTCGAGAGCATGGGCTGAGGGGGAGGATAGGGACGGATTGCAAATAGGCTCACCTAAGGGATTGGGGTTTTTGTTTTTGTTTATTGAGACAGGGTTTCTCTGTGTAGTCCTAGCCAGCCTGGAACTCACGCTGTAGACCATACTGGTCTCGAACTCAAATCTCCCTGCCTCTGCCTCCTGAATGCTGGGATTAAAGGCATGTGCCAACACCACCCAGTTTGGAGAATGTTTTAAAATGGAATATTATAAAACTGTTATAGTGATGATTATATAATACTGTAAAATTATTATAAATGATTAAATAGTACACTTAAGCTACACATAAATTTAGAGCATACAAACCAGGTGGTGGTTGCGCATGCCTTTAATCCCAGCACTCAGTTGGCAGAGACAGGTGGATCTCTGTAAGCTCAAGGCCAACCTGGTCTGCTGAGTGAGTTCCAGGACAGGCTTCAAAGCTACAGAGAAACCCTGTCTCAAAAAAAGGGGAGGAGGGGTTGAAAAATTCCATGAGATTACTTGTAGGTAATCTATAGTGCATTTTCTTGGTTATTGATTGATCTGTGAGGGCCTAGCTCACTGCAAGTAGTACAAACCTTGGCAAGTGGCCTTAGATGACAAAGCAGGCCAACCAAGCCATGGAGGTGGGCAGTAAGCAACATTCCTGCATGGTTTTTGCTTCAATTCCTGCCTTAAGTTCCTGCCCATACTTGCCTTCATGATGACCTATAAACTATAAGCTGAAATAAACCCTTTCCCCAACAAATTGATTTTAATCATTGTGTTTTATCATAGCTTTAGACCTAACTAAGGGTTTGGAGAGATGGCTCAGAAGTTAAGAGAACTAGCTGCTCTTCCAGAGGTCCTGAGTTCAGTTCCCAGCAACCACATGGTGGCTCACAACCATCTGTGATGAGATCTGATGCCTTCTGACTTGCAGGCACAAATGCAAGGAGAACATTGTATATATAATAAATAAATCTTTACAAAAATAACAAACTAAGAAACCTAACTAAGACAACCAGTAACACTGATGATGGGGAGGGGAGGGGTGCCTGTCTTTGTATAAGTATATAGAAATCTTGTGAGAGACCATATCAGCCTCTCTACTGGACTGTGCTTTCTTGGTTGGTATAGAGGGAGTTTATGTAACCTAGAGTGACAAGGCTCTATTTTTCACAGATTCATGGCTGTCAGATCCTGGAAACAGTTTACAAGCATAGCTGTGGGGGTTTGCCTCCAGTTAGAAGTGCATTGGAAAAGTAAGTCATGGCTTTCACCAATATTGGGGTAGAGGAGGGAGTCGAGTGATTTGACTTGTCACGTTTTATTTCCAGGTCATTTCTGGTTTTCCTGTGGGAAATCTTTAACTAGGATAGAAAAACCCCAGGGTTGGGGAGATCAGTAAATAAGTAAACTTGCTGTGCAAGTATGAAGACTTCAATGAATCCCTAGAACCCACTTAAAAAGCCAGGTGTGATGACTTGGGTCTGTAGTTCCAGCACTGGGAAAGAGGGAACAGGATCCCTGGGGACTTGCTGGCTGCCAGACTATCTGAATTGCCAAGCTTCAAGTGCGGTGAAAGATGTTTCAAAAAAATAAGGTATAGAATTACTGAGGAAGATTCCAGCATCAACCTTTGGTCTCCACATGCACATACACACACGTACCCCATATATATATGTACACATATACCCTGTATATACACACATGTGCATACACACATGCCGTACACATACTCCATATATACACACATGTGCATACACACACGTACCCCATATATATGTACACATATACCCTGTATATACACACATGTGCATACACACATGCCGTACACATACTCCATATATACACACATATGCGTACACACATGCCATACACATACTCCATATATACACACGTGTGCATACACACATGCCATACACATACTCCATATATCCACACGTGTGCATACACACATGCCATACACATACTCCATATATACACACGTGTGCCTACACACATGCTGTACGCACACTCCATATATACACATGTGTGCCTACACACATGCCATACACATACTCCATTATATACACACGTGTGCACACACACATGCCATACACATACTCCATATATACACACATGTACATGCACACATAGCTCATATGTAGACACAGAAGAGCCCTAGGAGTCACCAGGCGTAGTGGTATATGCCTATAATCCCAGTACTTGAAAGGTAGAAGCAGGAAGATTAGGAGCTCAAGATCATTCTCAGGTATGTGGAAAATTTAAAGAGGCCTGGGTTGAAAGCTAAGAAGGTAAAAGAGAGGGGGAAGGAAGGGAAAAGGAAAGAAGGGAGAGGGGCAGGTAAAGTGGTGGTGTGGGGAAGAAGAGTAGCCAGTATTTTTCACATCAAAATCCTTAAAATTTTTATACTTTATATCCTGTACTATCACACACTTCAAAATTTTATTATAACAAAAGTTATATTTAGTCTCTGGATTTATATACATGTGTATGCAGGTACATGTGCCCTAAGAGGCCATTGGAGAATATCTAGTGTCCAGCTCTCACTGTCCAATTTATTCCCTTAAAACAGGTTTTCTCACTGAGCCTGACTAGCCAATGGACTCACAGAATCTGCCTATCTCTGTACCCCAATGTTGGGGTATAGTCATGCACAGCTTATACATAGGTGTAGGGAATTAAAATTCTCAAGTCCTGTGCTTGCCTAGTAAGTGCTCTTACCCACTGAGCTATCTCCCCAGCCCAGTAGGGAAATTATGTAAAACAAGAAAATTATTCATACTCACTGCTGTATTGTTCATCAGGGAATTAGAAAATTTTTCAGGGGTATAAGGAAACCTAGGGCTGTTAGATAGCTCTTCTGATAAAAATATTGACTGCCAAGCCTGAAAACCTGTCACTGGAACTCATATGATAGAGGAAGGGAACCACTGCAGATTGTGCTCAGACCTCCTCATAGGTACAAGATAAAGGCATGCCAGCACACATGTACACACACACATACAAATACATAAATGTGATTAAAAATTTTAAGCTAAGCTGGGCGGTGGTGGCGCACGCCTTTAATCCCAGCACTCGGGAGGCAGAGGCAGGCAGATCTCTTTGAGTTCGAGGCCAGCCTGGTCTAGAAGAGCTAGTTCTAGGACAGGAACCAAAATGCATGCAATCATATTATGTGAAAATAGGGATACTTCGACCTCTCTTTTTCCAGTTGATCTCCTTCAGTTGTCTTACTGCTCTAGTGCGGCTCTGCTTCTTCCTCCTTTGGATTGTTAGCTGCATTGGCCCACAAGGGTGAAGGAAACAGAGCAGGGAACAGGGTTCAAGATGGTTGTAGGTATGAATGGACAGCCCTCCGGGAGATAGACTCTGATGAATCAGCTCAACTTTATTCCAAAGTATAAGGAATATAAAGGATTGAGAAGCCTAGGCACAAACCCTAATTTGCACTAAGTGGCACGCTCCTATCACGAGGCTTTTAGTACATGGCAGTAGGGTCCTATCAAAATGGCTTGAGCACTTGTCTAATTACCATGTGGGTCATCAGTGGGAAGAGCGTTTGCAGGGAGCTCTGTGTCGGGGGTGAGGTGGGGAGTTGCTCCATGTTGCTGAACTTAGAGACAGCTGCCATGCTATGGTAGACTGCAGCATCCCATCAGCAGGGCCTCCCAGCACTCTAGCTGAGATTTTGGGTACAATAATGAATACGTATGCAAAGTGGACAGCCTTGTCTTTTTTTGATTTTAGGGGAATTTCTTTGAATTTCTCTCCATTTAAGTTGATGTTGGCTATGGGTTTGCTGTAAACTGCCTTTATTATGTTGAGTATGTCCCTTATATTCCTTTTCTCTCCAGTTTTATCATGAAGGGGTGTTGGATTTTGTCAAAGGCCTTTTCTGCACCTAATGAGATGATCATGTGGTTTTTGTCTTTTAGTTTGTTTATATAGTGGCTACATTTATCAATTTATGTATGTTAAACCATCTCTGGGATGAAGCCTACTTGATCATGGTGGATAATCTTTTTAATGTGAAAATGGATTCTTTTTTCAAGTATTTCATTGAGAATTTTAAAATCTATATGACAGAAAATGGTCTGTAATTCTCTTTCTTTGTTGGGTCTTTATGTGATTTGGATATCAGTTAAATATGGCCTGCTAAAACAATTTTGGCAGTATTCCTTCTATTTCTGTTTTGTGGAATAATTTGAGGATTGCTGACATGAACTCTTCTTTGAAAGTCTGGTAGAATTGTTCACTAAAATCATCTTTCTCTAGGCTGTTTTTTATTTGGGAGAATTTTAATAATTGTTCTATTTCATTAGGGGTTATTAGTCTGTTTAAATTGCTTATCTGATCTTGATTTAACTTTAGTAAATGTTATGTGTTGAGAAAATTACCCATTTTTTTTTAGATTTCCTAATTCAGTGGATTACAGGTTTTTAAAATATGGCCTTATGGTTATCTGGATTTCTTCAGTGTCTGTTGTCTGTTGTTATGTCCCCCTTTTCAGTTCTAATTTTGTTACTTTTTTTTTTTTTTTTTGGATATTATCTTCCTGACTCTTAGTTAATTTGGATAAGGGTCTATAAATCTTAGATTATTTTTTCAAATAACCAACTCTTTGTTTCATTGAGTCTTTATATTGTTTTTGTTTGTTTCTGTTTCATTGATTTCATCCTGGGTATGATTATTTCTTGCTGTCTACTTTTAAATGTAGTTTCTTATTTTTGTTTTAGAGCAGTGGTTTTCAACCTGACAGTCACAACCCCTTTGGGAGTTCAAATAACCCTTTTATAGGAGTCGCATGTCAGATGTCCTGCATATCAAATATTGTAGTGTAGATATACACTACAATTCATAACAGTAGCAAAATTAATTATGAAGTAGCAACGAAAATAATGATTTGGAGTCACCACAACATGAGGAACTGTATTAAAGGGCCTCAGAATTAGGAAGGGTGAGAACACTGCTCTAGAGCTTTCAGCTGTGCCGTTACTAGTATGTGATCTCTCCAGTTCTTAGTGTTATGAACTTGCCTATTAGAACCACCTTGTGTCCCATAAGTTTGGATGTGTTGTGTATTCATTTTCATTTCAATTCTAGAAAATCTCTAATTTCTTTCTTAACCCATTTTTCATTCACTAGTGAGTTGTTCAGTTTCTATGAGTTAATAAGCTTTCTGTTGTTTATGTTGTTGTTTATATCCAGTTTTAATCTGTAGCGGTCAGATAGGATGCAGGGTTTTCTTACAATTATTGACTAGTGTGAGGTATTGAAGTTTTACTCTATTGGGTTGTGAGGGGTCAATATGTGACTTAAGCCATAGTATTCTTTTATGAACTTGGGTGCCCTTGTGTTTGGTTCATAGATGTTAAGAATTGCAGTGTTTTCTTGGTAGAATTATCATTTGATGATTACTTTGTGTCCTTTCCCTCTAAATCTCTTCTGATTAGTTTTGGTTTGATGTCTATTTTGTCAGGTATTAAAATGGCCGCACCAGCTTGCTTCTTAGATCTACTTGCTTGGAATAGGTTTTCTCATCCTTTTACCCTTAGGTGATGTCTGTCCTTGATGTTAAGATGTGTTTCTTGGGTACAGTAGAAGGATTGATCCTGTTTGCACTTCTGTTCTGGTAATCTGTCTTTGAGGAATTGAGACCACTGATGTTGAGAGATTATCAATGAATAGAGTTTGTTGATTCATGGTGGTGGGTGTGGGGAGGTGTTTCCCCTCTTTCAATTTGTTGTCTGGAATTATTTATTCCTTGTGTATTCTTGGATGTAGTTAACCTCTAGGTTGGAGTTTTTCCTCCTAGCTCCATCAATAAGAGAGGAATTGTAGGTAGATATTGTTTAAATTGGCAAGGGTTTTTTTTCCCTCTATCTATGGTGATTGAATGTTTTGCTTGGTACAGTAGTCTGGGCTGGCATCTGTGGTTTCTTTGGATCTTCCCAGGCCCTTCGGCCTTTTAGAGTCTCCTTTGAGAAGTCAGATGAAATTCTAACAGGTCTGCCTTAATAAGTTACTTGTTCTGTTTCTCTTGTAGCTTTTAATATTTTTCTTTGTTCTGTATGTTTAGTGTTTTGATTATTGTGTGCTGAACTTTATTTTCTGCTTTAGTCTATTTGGTATTCTGTGTACTGCTTTTTTGTTGTTGTTGTTGTTTATATTTTTTCTTGTTGTTGTTTTGAGACAGAGTTTCTCTGTGTCAACCTGGCTGTCCTAGAACTCACTCTGTAGACCAGACTGGTCACAAACTCAACAGAGATTCACCTGCTTCTACCTCATGGGTGCTGGGATTAATGGCATGAGCCTGCTGTTTGTATAATTCTTGTGCCTTGATGGGCACCTCCTTCTTTAGGTTAGGGAAATTTTCTTCTATATTTTTGTTGAAAATATATTTTCTGTGCCTTTGACCTGGATTACTTTCCCTTCCTCTGTTTCTGTTATTCTTAGATTTGATCTCTTCATGGTTTCCCAGATTGCTGGATGTTTTATGCTAGGAGTTTTTAGATTTAACATTTTCTTTGACCAAGGTATTTATTTCTTCTCTCATGTCTTCAGTGCCTGAGATTCTGTCTTCCATCTCTTGTATTCGGTTGCTGAGGCTTGTCTCTAAGGTTCCTGTTTGAGTTCATAAAATTTTCATTTCTAGATTTACCTCAGTTTATTGATTCTATCCACTTTCTTGTCTTGCATGGTTTTATTCGTTTCCTTCCGCTGTGTGTTCGTGTTTTCATGGATACCATACTCATAAAGGCTGTTTTAAGGTCTTGCTCTTGGGTGTCACTTATGTTGCAGTGTCAGGGCCTGCTGTGGTGGGCTCTTCTGGAGATACACTGACTTGACTGTTACTGTGTTTTCATGCTGCTGCCCGTCAAACCTCTCAGTATCCGTTCTCCAACTGTCTTCCTGCATTTTATTTTGATTTCTGCATTTTATTGAGTTATAATACATTATTCTATCAACTTGGTACTCACATATTGAATCTTTTTCCTTATAATGTTCCAAGAAGAATATAAATTCAAGGCTGTTTTAAGCAAAATGTGACTCCATTACATCCACTTCTATAAGACTCATCAGTTTTGAAACTTTCACAAAAAATGAAATTTTTGTTCTAAAAGAACATTTCCTGATAATCAGTCTGTCTGTTAGCAATTAAAATTAGCACAGTTATTTTTACCTTGTTTCCCCCATGACTCACCACACTCTCAAGCTTTTGTCTGTCCTCTCAGAATTTGAAGCATAATCTCTGGCAGTGGTGAGTCTTGGTATTCTCTTAAGTGGACTGGTAACGGTAAGCTCTTGCTTCCTTCTCTCCTCAGAATCCTGGCTGTCTGCCATGGAGTCATGTATAAACAGCTCTCAGCCTGGATGCTACACGGACTTCTTTTGGACCAGCATGAAGAGTTCTTTATAAAACAGGGTCCGTCTTCTGGCAATATCAGTGCCCAGGCGGAAGAGGATGAAGAGGATCTGGGTATTGGAGGACTGACGGGAAAACAGTTGCGAGAACTGCAGGACCTGGTGAGGGCAGAACAGGAAGCCCAGGGCAGGCACTGGTTAGAGACACCTGCTGACTGCCTTCCATGAATGGATCACTTAGAAACACTGGGTTTTCTCTTAGAGACTACAAAATAGAAAGTGATTTTGAAATCCCTTTTTTTTTCTTTTCTACATTACGTGCATTTGCAAGTATAGTGATAAATTTATCTCTGCAAACATGAACTACCCTGTAGCTTTTCGTGTGGTGTGGAGTTACAGACTCCTCAGAGTCTTGTATGTTCATATTCATTTGTTCATCTGTTGGCTCATTTCCCTTGTTAGATTCACTGAATGTCTGTTAGGTGCCCAACTACAGAGACAAATGTAGTTCTTATCCTTAAGAAGTGTATAATTGATGGGAAATAGAGAAAAGTGAGCAGTTACATTACAGTTACCACAAGCTCTGCCAAAGATCAAGATCTTCCAAGATCTTGAAGTAAGGTTTTAAAACTAGAGAGAACTTTTCAGTATTTCTAAATTGCAGTTTGGTAAAACGGGTCACAACATGTCCAGGGATTGTGTATAATGGTAAAGGCTATTAAGAACAAGGCTCATTGGAAGAACCATGTGAATCTCAGGTAAAGCTCACATATTTGGTGTGTATGGTAGAGGATTAAGGGAGATGGCAGTAGATGAAGGTGCTGAGTGAATCATTAACAAAATCCCGAGAGTCCTTGTGCACAAAGAGTTCAGACTGAATGTGAAGAGTGCTAAGTATGAGCAGTTGGATAACTTCAGGAAAAGAGTGACAGATCATGATATGTCATTTTAGGTGCGATGTGGGAACCAGTTCTTAAAGACTAAGATCAGAAGCTGAACATGGAGGTGCATATCATTTCCTTATAGGACAGGCTAGAGCAGAGGGAGCACCATTAGTTTAAGGCCAGCCTGGCTGACTGAGTGAGACCCTCTCTCTCCCTGCTCCAAATAACAACGAAAAGATGGATGTGGTATTGCATAGCAGTAATCTCAGCATCCAAGAATCGGAGGCAGAAGAATTACCCCAGTCTACATAGGGATTTCTAAATCAGTCTGAGTTACAGAGTGAGACCCTGTCTCCAAAACAAAAACAAAAACCAAGAGCAGAGGCAAACAGACTAGTTAATAGAGGCTTGGGATTCTTAGGTAAAAAAATAATCATTCCAAGCATGGACACAGTGAATGTGGAGGCAGACAGAAGCCTGAGAGGTGATTAGAAAATGGAATCCATAGCCCTTTAGAGACTGGCCGTGAGTCAAGAGAGAAGTTTAGCCTTTAGCAGTTAGGCGCTAAGTGAATAGTGATGACAGGCAGTGTGTATTGCTGGTGTTTGTTTTTGTGTGGCTCAAACCTGAGGCCAGGCAAGTACTCTGCCTTCGAGCTATATTCCCAGCTCAAGGACTAATATGAGATGTATTGAGTTTAGGAAGCCTGTGGGAAATGTCCAGTGGGCTTAGCCTGGAAGAGTAGTATAGCTTGCTCTGAAGCTAAGCACGGAGTGATCAGCAGCAGCCCACGGGAAGCTGCAAGAGGTTCTCTGTACAATGTCTAGTAGAAGGTCCACAGTATTGATAGTTTCAGGCCTATTAAAACAACCTGCTAAGATGCCCAGTGAAGCCACATAAGATGCTTCTCTGAAAAATGTAGATCAAGAGAGAAGAGTCTGAGATAGGTCTTGACAGCGAACACACACACATGAGGCCTGGAGAATTACAACCAATTCATGGAATTGTGCAAATGAGGAAACTAAGCATCTGCCCACCTGACACAGTAGTAAAGCCTTATATTTAAAAACAGTGCTAAGCGGGACTGGAGAGATGGCTCAGTGGTTAAGAGCACAGACTGCTCTTCCAGAGGACCCGGGTTCAATTCCCAGCACCCACATGGCAGCTCACAACTGTCTGAAGATCAGTTCCAGGGGATCTGACACTTCACACCAATGCACATAAAATAAAGTTAAATAAACCATAAAAATGTAAAAAAAAAAAAATATTTAAAAAAAAAAAAACAGTGCTAAGCTGAGGATTGACTCCATAGGTCACAGTGCTTCTGCAAGTGTGAGGACCTGGGTTCAGCCCGTGTTAAAGCCAGATGCTATAGTGTGAACACCTGTAATCTCAATGCTCCTGCAGTGAGATGGAAGGCAGAAACAGAAGTCTGGAAGTCTGAAGGCTAGCTAGTTTGGCATCACAGCAGAACAAGGAGATCTTGGTCTCAAGAAAGGAGGTGTCCTCGGACCTCCACACATACGCCCTGGCCCATGTGTGCCCACACTGACACGCATTGTGTACACAAAAGTAAATTAAAAACAAAAATAAAAAGAACCAAAACTCTGTTGAAATAAGAGCGGCTGGGCTGCGTCCCTGGCACCCGGCCGCCCACATGGCTAGCTCTAGCTTATGCCCCGAAATAATTACACACAAACTGTATTCATTTAAACACCGCTTGGCCCATTATATCTAGCCTTTTCTCGGCTAACTCTCGCACTTGGACTAGCCCATTTCTTATAATCTGTGTAGCCCACGAGCTGGCTTACCAGGAATGATCTTAACCTGCGTCTGCCTGGAGTGGGAGAATCATGGCGACTCCTGACTCAGCTTCTTTCTTCCAGCATTCTGTTCTGTTTACTCCTCCCACCTATATTTTAACCTATGAGGGCCAAGCAGTTTCATTGCTTAACCAATGAAATCAACAGATTGATATATGACACTCCCACATCAAAACTCAGTGCTTTCCATCATGCCACTGTTCTCCATGAAAACGGAGTACGTTTCCAGCGCTGTGATTTAAGAATTGTACAACTTCTGATTTAAACCCTGCTTGCCAGTAACATAGATCATGGGTTAGAGGAGCTAAGACCTATCGTCATACTTCATGTGACAGGTTATTTCCTTGACTAGCGCCTAATTGAGGAAGAGAACATGCTGGCCCCGTCCCTGAAGCAGTTTTCCCTGCGGATGGAGATTTTACCATCCTACATTCCAGTGAGGGTTGCTGAAAAAATCCTCTTTGTTGGAGAATCTGTTCAGATGTTTGAGAATCAAAATGTGAACCTGACGAGGAAAGGTAAGAATCCCCTGTGGGGCTGGAGAGATAGCTCAGTGGTTCAGAGCACTGGTTGGTCTTTCAGGGGATCCAGGTTCAATTCCCAGCACCCACATGGCAGCTCACAACTGTCTGTAACTCTAGGATCCAACACCCTCACGCTTATGAGCTTATGATGTATGTATACATGCATACAAGCAAAACACTAATAAAAAAATGAAAGAACGCCTTAAAAAAAGAATCCTCTTGTTCTGTTGGCACTGACCCAAAGCATGTTGGGTTAGAGTGACTGCCATGGCAGCTGTGGCCCGACCACCCTGTCTAATGGCTCCTGTCTGACAGTAGCACCTTTGTACTCCACAGGCTCCATCTTGAAGAACCAGGAGGACACTTTTGCTGCAGAACTGCATCGGCTCAAGCAGCAGCCACTCTTCAGCCTTGTGGACTTTGAGCAGGTGGTGGATCGAATTCGCAGTACTGTGGCTGAGGTGTGTCTTCTAATATTGTTCTAGAAGAAATGAGTTTAGAGAGAAGTAAAGGGCAAGAAGTAGAAAAAAGAGAAAGAGCTCTCTGTGGGGCTGCAGAAATGGCTCAGTGGTTAAGAGCACTGGATTCGACTCAGGTTTGATTCCCAGGACCCACATAGTAGCTCACAACCATCTGTAATTCCAGTTCCAGGGGATCCAGTGCTCTCTTCTGACCCCCACAGGCACTAGGCAGACATATTGTATACAGATACACATGTAGGCAAACACCCTTACACAGAAAATAAAAACTCCCTTTGTTTTTAAAATAGAAGTAGAATTCAACCTTCTGCAGATTTGTTTCAGTTACTAATTTAATTGACTAACAGGGAAACTTTAGTTATAATTTCTAACATTCATGAGTTTGGGTGATGAAAAGTGTGTGTGTGTTGTGTTTTAGTATCAACCACGTATTTCATTTGTATACAGGAATTTTAGGATAGCCAAGCAGACACAGTGATGGTCCAGCCCTTGAGACAAGTGGGAAGGGATGAATGAGTAGGGATTCTAGGTACTAGTACTTCCTGAACTGAGGGCACTTACATTGGTGTGTTGATTATGAACTTCAAGATGAAAACTTATGATGTATGTACTTAACTATATATGTTACTATTTTCACAATAAGGATTTTTAATTTGTGTGTATGTAAGAGTTTTTGTTTTAGTTATATCTTCAGATTGTTGTTTATTTAGAGAAATAGCAGTGCTGATTTATTGATGGTAATCTTACAGATTCTCAACTTGGCTGTAGTTGGACTTTTCTTTGGGCTGCCAACCAGCTTCCAGAAAAGACATGGAAACTTATTATTAATTATGAATGCTTGGTCTTAACTTAGGCTTGTCCCATTCGCTCTTTTAACTTAATTTAACCTGTTTCTAGTCGTCTATGTTTTGCCTCAGGGATTTTTACTTTTCTTTCATTCTGTATGTCCTACTTTCCTGCTTCCTCCCTGTCTGGCTGACTGGCCCCTGGGGTCTCCCTGGTGTCTCTTCCTCCATGTCTGGCTGACTGGCCCCTGGGGTCTCCCTGGTGTCTCTTCCTCCATGTCTGGCTGACTGGCCCCTGGGGTCTCCCTGGTATCTCTTTTTTTTCTTGCCTCATCCTACATTCCTCCTCCTACTTACTCTCCCTGCACGGAAGTTCTGCCTGTACCTCTTCCCTCATTATTCGCCATTCAGCTTTTTATTATACTAGTCAGGTGCCTTAGACAGGCAAGGTAAAATAGCAACACATCTTTATGTAACTGAACAAATGCAAGCATCTTTACATAGTTAAACAAATATTCCACAACATGAAGGGTGTTAATAGTTTGGTTTTTGTTTTGCTTTTCTGTTTGTTTGTTTGGTCGGTTTTTTGAGACAGGGTTTCTCTCGGTAGCCCTGGCTATACTTGAATTCACTCTGTAGACCAAGCTGGCTTCAAACTCACAGCAAGCCACCTGTCTGTGCCTCCCAAGTGCTGGAATTAAAGGCATGTGCCAACACTGCCTGGCAGTCTATAACTTTTTTTAAAAAAAAAGATTTATTTATTTATTTATTATGTATACAGAGTTCTGTCTGCGTGTGTGCCTACATGCCAGAAGGCAGCACCAGATCTCATTATAGATGATTGTGAGATACCATGTGGTTGCTGGGAATTGAACTCATAACCTCTGGAAGAGTGGCCAGTACTCTTAACCTCTGAGCTATCTCTCCAGCCCAATATTTTTAAAATGTATTAAAGATGACATCATCTGAAAGTAATGTTTTATAATAATTCCTCCAGTGTTTAAACCTTTTCCCCCTACACTGTTGCTTCTTTTCATCTAGAATCTTTAATGATGCATTGGTCAGCTTGGCTTTGTTTGTATAAATCGTGTCAAACAATAGAGTGATAATGGATGTCTCTGATTACTTGACTCTAGAGATTATACAGCTAGTTACTGCATTGCTATGACATTTACTGTAGGCTTTTAGAACAGAAGTTTATTAAAGAATTCCCTTCCTACTTGACGGAGTTTTTATCTTAAGGGATGTTCAGTTTTATCAGCTGCAGACTATTATCTGTCTTGTTCCTTTGTTGTTGTTGTTAAAAAGTTAATATTAGGAATTGTTACTGAAAGTGTGAACCTCTCTAAAAAGTGATCTAAGCCAGGCTTTCTTCAGGAAGAAAAACTTCAGTTGAGTAGGTTTGAAACTAAATTTACCATAAAATTTCTTCTTCCAACTTTGGGGGCCCATATGAAGGGACCAACAGGCAGCACTGGGACTCTGAAACATGGCTGGGCTGGGTGGTTGGCAAAGCCATGTCTGAGTGAGCCTTGGAGATTCATGCTGCTGTTGAGCATAGCCTCTGTGGTCTCCACATCCCTCAGCATCTATAGTTGTATGAAGGCTCTCACTGGGAAGTGTTCTGGTACTTACAGTGACATGGTGGATTTTTCCAAGCACTGCTGCTGAAGCAGATTAATGATTTAAGCACCACCCTTAGAAAGAATTGAGACACAGAATTGTTAGTAAAATTAGGTTAAAGTGTATTCGTTAGTGGCTTTGTGATGGAAAAATATTGGGGAACAACTTAAAATTTAGAAAGGCACATAGTTGAGCGAGGGACTCGTTGAGGTCAAGAAACAAGAACAATGACAGCCTGGCTATTTGCTGACAAACCTTTCCTGCTAGCATGGGTTGGTGATCAAAAGTGTTGATAATTCCTTGTACCCATTTCTGCCCAGAGCTGCTTGATACAAAAACTGTTGATGAGTGGGTCTGCACCCTGAAGATTTAAAGTAGAGATGACTGATTACTTTTCATATATTAAAGCTTAGATTTGTAGCCAGGCGGTGGAGGTGCACACCTTTAATCCCAGCACGTGGGAGGCAGAGGCAGGCTGGTCTCTGTGAGTTCAAGGCAAGCCTGGTCTACAAGAGCTAGTTTAGTTCCAGGACAGACTCCCTGTCTCGAGAAACCAAAAAAAAAAAAAAAAAAAGGTTTAGATTTGTAATTCTTTTTTTTTTTTTATTGAGAAAAAAAAAATTCCGCCTCCTCCAAAGATTTCTTGGTTGATTTTTTTTTTTAAATGCAGCCTGCCAGCGAAAGAACTAGCTGAGAAAAATACCTTGCTTGCTTACATGTTAATCTATAATAAGTTGGTTCAGTATAAATGTATGTGGGTTCTTAAAACAACTTGTAAAGTGTAAAATGTTCACTCATGTAAGAGATATAGAAAACATTGTTTTTCACTTGTATTTATTGTAATCATTCACTTAAAAATAGAATGTAACCACATTGTAATTTTTATATTGCTTGAAAGATTTTGCTGGGGAAGAGAAGCTGTAAGGGAGAAAATAAAGACATGAGAGAAGGAAACACCAGGAAAGATGTAGAAGGAAGTAGCTAGGAGGAAGATATCTGGAGAGACAGAAGGGAAATACCAGGGCAGAAGAACAGAACAGAAAGAGTAGAGTAGAACCATCAACAAAAAGAATAATAAAATAAGAACTCATCCTTGGCCGTCAGAAAAGTCCTCGTGTGTCTGTCTGTCTGTCCAGTAGTTCTGCTCTGCATCTTTTCAGTTTCTCAGACGTGCTGAAGGCTTGCCATTCCTCAGCACCCTGGGTGAGATCCGGGTGTGTTTGAGATATGCGTGTGTGTTTAGATTTTCCTCCCGCAGATAGAAAAGTCAGGTTGACTCCGTGGACTTCAGTCCCTGGAACTTTGAAGGCTGGTGCTCACACAGCAGTGTGTAACAATGTTGATATTCTGCAGCACTTAACTATCTCAGGTAGATTTAATTTTAAAAATACTTACTTGTCTGAACTATGTTTTGTTTATTTAAATTTTGTCTTTTAAAAATTATTTTGTGTGTTTGTGGTATATGTATTTATGTTGCCTGTGCACACACATGCACCCCAGAGGTCAGCCTCCGATGTCTTCTGTTTTCACTCTCCACCTTACTTTTTAGGACAGCGTCTCCCACAAAACCAAGGGTTCTTCTCCAGTGAGTCCCCAGGCCCTACTGTGAGCTGTTTCCCAGCATCTGCTGTAGGCATGAGCACTCTACCCAGCTTTTGCTTGCGGACCTGAGACTTGAACTCTGGTCCCTGTGCTTGCTTAGCTTGCTTTCTTCACTGAGCCATCTCACTAGCCCCCATTTTCCTCATTATTGTTTCATCTTTTTGGGCTTTTATTAAGATTAAGAAACTAAGCCGGGCCGGGCGGTGGTGGCGCACGCCTTTAATCCCAGCACTCGGGAGGCAGAGGCAGGCGGATCTCTGTGAGTTCGAGACCAGCCTGGTCTACAAGAGCTAGTTCCAGGACAGGCTCCAAAACCACAGAGAAACCCTGTCTCGAAAAACCAAAAAAAAGAAAAAAAAAAAAAAGAAAGAAAGAAAGAAAGAAACTAAGCCGGGCGGTGGTGGCGCACACCTTTAATCCCAGCACTTGGGAGGCAGAGGCAGGCGGATCTCTGTGAGTTCGAGGCCAGCCTGGTCTACAAAGGGAGTTCCAGGACAGGCTCCAAAGCTACAGAGAAACCCTGTTTCGAAAAAAACAAAAAAAAAAAAAAAAGATTAATAAACTAATTAGAGCTAGCTTTTTGTTTCTTATTTTCCCTTAATTTATAAGTTCTTTAGGTCATTTTTACTTGTCTTTCTCTTTTTCTTCTTATTTAAATATTAAGATACTAACTTGAACACTAAACAAATTATGTATATGTGGAAAATTATGTAGTATTCAGGACTTTTGTTTATTTATTTTTATTTTATGTGCAATGGTGTTTTCTCCCGGGTGCCAGAATTACAGACAGTTGTAAGCTGTCAGGTGGGTGTTGGGAATTAAACCTGGGTCAGTACTTTTAACTACTGAGCCGCTCTCTCTCCAGCCTCTCATGTAGTATTTCAGTGCATGTATGAGTTGTATGATTTTTTTCTTACATATTTGGGTGTTAAGCCTGCATGTATATCTGCATCACATGCCCGCCAGCCTGGTGTCCTCGGAGGCCAGACAAGGGTACTAGAGTCCCTGGAACTGGGGTTATGGATGGTTGTGAGCCACCTTGTGGTTGCTGGGAATCAAACCCATATCCACTGGAAGACCAGCAGTACTCTTAACTGCTAATCTATCTCTCCAGTCCTTTAAAAAAAAGGGGGGGGGGATTTTGCTCCATAAACAAGATTGGCCTGGAACTTGGTGAACATTTTCCTGCTACAGCCTCCCAGTTCTGGAATGACAAGCAGGTCTTTTTTTTTTTTACTTTTTTACTTTTCATAAATCGTGATCAAGAAGGGCAGGTGGTGGTAATGCGCGCCTTTAAGCCTTTAATCCAAGCACCCTCGAGGCAGAGGCAGGTAGGTCTCTGAGTTCAAAGCCAGTCTGGTCTATAGAGCAAGTTCCAGGACAGCTAGACTACACAGAGAAACCCTGTCTCAAAACAAAACAAAACAAAAAGTTGATACAAAATTCACACAAACAGCATTGTAGATATTTTAAAATGATATCCAATCCAGTGGTTTTTAATTTCACAGTTGTATATGCAGCTGTTACCATTAATTTCAGCACAGTTTTATCTTACATAGGTTTTTGTTTTGTTTCTCTCTGTTTAACTATCTGTTTATTCCTAGAGTTCACTGAACTTGGGTTCACTGTAATGAACTTAAGTGTTTTTGTTTGTTTTTGTTCTAATCTCATCACAGCACCTCTGGAAGCTAATGGTCGAGGAGTCAGACTTACTGGGTCAGCTGAAGGTAATAACTCTTGAGGTGATTGTGAAAAGCACTCTTGCCTAGACTTGTGGTAGGCTCACTTGTTTACGCAGGTGAGAAATCATATGTGATGCCACAGAGCGTCTGTACTCCATAAACATTCACGTTCACTTGCCTCTGTTGTGCTCTGAATGCCATCAAACACAGAGTCCTCCCGCAAGGCTGCCTGTATGTTTCTTTCTAAATACCAAGCCTGTGTCCTTCAGACTGATAGCGTCTGTCTGATTCTTTCGGGTAGTAAGGGCCTCTGGGCTCTGATTTACTCAGTTGTATATTGAAATTCTTTCCTCAGATCATTAAAGACTTTTACCTTCTGGGACGAGGAGAACTGTTCCAGGCGTTCATTGACACAGCTCAACACATGTTAAAAACACCACCCACTGCAGTGACAGAGCATGGTAATTGTCCCGTGGCCCTGAGAATAACAGCTTGCTCAAGTTACAGGGTGTTTCTTGGCTGATGTTGTGTGCTGTATGTTTGCCTGCACGGGCCAGAAGAGCGGGAACTTGAGTCACAAGCATTTGTGAGCTACATGTGGGCGTGTGGAAGAGAACCTGGGTCCTCTGCAGTGCTTTTAACTGCCAGTGCTCTAGCCACCTCAACCTAACCTGGGAAAGTCTAGTTAGAGCTAAAGCTCCCTTGTGCTTGGGTTGTAACTGGGTCTCAGAACAAGTAAAAGAACGGTCTTCAGTACTGTTAAGACTTTGCTCCTGGGGCTGGAGAAATGGCTCAGAGGTTAAGAGCATTGCCTGCTCTTCCAAAGGTCCTGAGTTCAATTCCCAGCAACCACATGGTGGCTCACTACCATCTGTAATGGGGTTTGTGCCCTCTTCTGGCCTGCAGGCAGAAACACAGATAGAATATTGTATACACAATAAATAAATAGATATTAAAAAAAAAAAGAAAAAAGACTTTGCTCCTTACCTTTGTTGAACACCCCCACCCCCATCTGTAACAGCCCAGCCTGGTCTGTAGCAGCAAATTAAAGAGGTCTAGTGAAGTGCTGTATTTTAAGTGGCCCTCCCCGGGTCACATGGCGATCATTGTAACAATGAAGAAGTGAGGCCTTAGTTAATGGCTGCCTCCTTCCAGACACAAGAAGAGAATGTAGGAAGAATCCAAGCCAAGAAAAAGGAAATAGGAGGGAAAATGGAGACTAGTGTTTTATAGTTTAATGAGACAATAGATATCTACTGTACCTTTTGTTACAGAAAGCAGAAAAGCCAGTTCAGACTCATTTAAGCAAATAAAAAGGATAGAAATTATTGATTCTCATACTATCTCAAAGATAATTAGGTAAAATTTTGTCTTCTTGGCCAGCAGAACAGGCTCCAGCCCATTGGTCCTCAACCTTCCTAACCCTGTGACTCGTTAATACAGTTGTTCATGTCATGGTGACACCCAGCCATAAAATTATTTTTGTTGCTACTTCATAACTAATTTTGCTACTATTACGAATCATAATGTCAGTATTCGATATGCAGGAATCAGATTTGGAACCCCCGTGAAAGGGTCATTCAACCAACTGCTGCTCTTGCCATATTTAAATGTTACTAAAACTGATCTCAAAAGAGCTGCATTCTTCTAGAGTCTGAAGAAAGCCTCTGGGTTGGCTTGGATCAGATCAAGTCTATAAAATGTCAGCTGTCAAGATCCATTTGATCATGCTGCCTCCCCAAAAACTGGATGTTGCCAACCCCGCTGACACTACAGGAGTGATTCTCAGGATTGTTATAACAAGGACAAGGAGACAGAAGCCACAGATGTTGCTTTCCTATGTCTTTGTTGCAGATGTAAACGTGGCCTTTCAACAGTCAGCACACAAGGTGCTGCTAGATGACGACAACCTTCTCCCTCTGTTACACTTGACAATCGAGTATCATGGGAAGGACCATAAAGGTTTGTTACTCTCCACTTGCCTCCTCTCTGCATCTTCTAGTTCTGGACCTTAGGGATCACTTAGTCTAGTTATCTAATTTTGTATAAGAACAAACATAATTCCAAAAAGGTTCAGCTCCTCTGTCCATAGGTTGTAGCATGAATAATAAAAACCCAGAGACAGATACTGGGGTTCAACCTGAAGATCAGAAAAGCAGAGCAACCAGCCGCTGGCTCTTACTTCTACCTCAGACCGAAATGGTGATCCTACCTCCAGGAATCTCAGAATGAGAATGAGCTGAGACTTGTCTCCTCCAGTCTTATATTTGTCTCTAGTGCTGGGGTTAAAGGCGTGCACCACTACTACCAGGCTTCTGTGGCAAACTAGTGTGGCTACTGAGATTAAAGGTGTGTGCCACCACTGCCTGGTCTGTATGGCTGACCAGCATGGCTGTCTTACTCTCTGATCTTCAGGCAAGCTTTATTTATTAAATACAAATGAAATATCACTTACAATAGGTTTTTGAGATTGCATCTATATTTTTGTCTAAAACACATCTCAGAAAAGCCCTCACAGAAGTTTCCTCCCCTCTACCTTTGTTGCCTCTATAAGTCCTGCTATTTAACACCACTGAGGCCTCATTTTATGTGTGCAGTTCATCTTGGTCTCTCTGGTTTTAATTAACCAAGGTATTTTTCATTATCTTCTTAACTTTAGCAGATGCCACCCAGCCAAAAGAAGGGCATTCTCGGGAAACGTCCCCACGGGAAGCCCCTGCTTCCGGCTGGGCAGCTCTAGGTCTCTCCTACAAAGTACAGTGGCCACTACATATTCTCTTCACCCCAGCCGTCTTAGAAAAGTAAGTATTTCTGAGTTTTTCCCAAGTAAATATTTCCCACCTTATATCCAAGGGAAGAAGTAAGTGTGAACAGGAGTAAGATGGGTAGAAGTGAGCCAGTCGTCCAGCTGGTTTCTACACTAGTGAGCCAGAGGTTGCACACTTGCCTGTCTTCAGGAGCTAGACGGGTTCTAGTTTTTTGTTGTTATGAAAAAGACAAGATAAAAAGCAACTTGGGAGGAAAGGACTTATTTGGTGTATATGTCTAGATAACAGTTCTTCATTGAGGGATGTCAACCTAAGGATTTCATGGAGGAACAGAGGCAGAAACCACAGAGGGGTGCTTCTTATTAGCTTGCTCCTCAGTTTGCTCAATTTACTTTGTTATACATCCCAGACCCACCTGGTCAGGTGTGGTACCACAGTGCACTGGGCCCTTCCACATCAATCATGAACACAAGAACACACCCCACAGATTTGCCCACAGCCCAGTCTGATTAAAGCAGTCTTTAACTGAAGGTCCCTGTTCTAGGTAACTCCAGCTTCTGTCAAGTTGACCAAAACTAAAACAACAAACAGCAGCTCACATTACTAAGGGAGGTAACAGCCCTGAAACAATAGTTCTTGGGAGGAGCACTGCCCGTACACAGTGGGACCCAAGATCCCCAGGAAGGAGATGAGAAAAGCACACTGCACTCTGAGAAAGGATGAGGAACCCCATGCTCTGTGGCTACAGGAATGAGGAAGACATCTCTCTTCAGCCTTCCCCCGTCTAGCTTGTTCTCCACAACATGCCTACTGTTTTACAATAATGAGAAACTGGGCAGACTGGGCATAAGCAGGAAATGGTGAGGCTGTTGGAGGATTCTGCAACAGGTTCAGAGCTCATCAGGTGTACAGGCCTTATCCAGAGACTCAAAGACTTAACAGCTCACAGATGCCCACAGTCCTGGTTTGAGACAGGGTGTGTGTGTATGTGTTTATAAAATTTAATGTTTTTAATATAAAATAAAAATATTTTAATATTTAAACTTTAAGGTATTTGGTTAATATTTAATAAATATTTTAATGTCTTTTTTAATAAGTATGTATATGGGGTATGTGTGATGTGAATGACTGCAGGATCAAAAGAGGACACTGGCTCTCTTACTGAGGCTTAGTTATTGTGTTGTATAGCTGAAATTCATTTCACTTTCTCACCACTCTTCTAGCCTGCTTGTCTTTGTGTGAAGGGATGTTAGATTGAGGTTTGTATCTCAGTGATGCTTCTGTCATAGGTACAATGTTGTTTTCAAGTACTTACTGAGTGTGCGCCGTGTCCAGGCTGAACTACAGCACTGCTGGGCTCTTCAGATGCAGCGCAAGCACCTCAAATCTAACCAGACAGATGCAGTCAAGTGGCGCCTAAGAAATCACATGGCCTTCTTAGTAGATAATCTTCAGTACTATCTCCAGGTATGTTCTGAGCGGTTTATGGAAGAGGTGGGAAAGGAGCCTAGAGAACACTGAGATGGGGCAGTTCTGTATCTGGTAAAATGCTGCAGTTGGAGAAAATTTAGGAGTTACATCACTAGGTATGTTTCTTGGCATTTTAAGGGGAAGTGGATATCCATAGATAAAGGGATTTAGGCTTCAAGATACTTATTTGCCAGATATTTTGGAATTCTCACGCATGTCCAGTCTTTTGACATTGTAACATGACATCATTTACAGAGTTCACACCCAAAAACCATGCAACAGTTACCACGCCCCTTCCCTCCCAAAAGAATATCATTTTAGAATTTTGTGCTGCCCCTTGACTGCATGTAGCCCATACCTGTCCTTGGCTACATGTTGGACAAGCTTCTTGTTGCTGACCATTTCAGTCAGTGGAAGGGATGAGGCATGACTGGATTAGGCCAGGGTAGGGGAGAGTGGTCTGCAAAGACATTTGAAGCTATTAAAAATTACACACCATGGAGCTGGAAAGATGGCTTAGCAGTTAAGAATGCTAACCACATGTACAGAGGACCCAGGTTGGGTTCTTAACACCCACATGGTAGCTGACAACATCAGTAGCTCTAATCCAATAACTGTAGTCCCAGAGGATCTGACACCTTCTTCTGACCTCCGTGAGCACCAGGAATACATGTGATATACATACACACATGCAAACAAAACGTGTAATTTATATATATATTTGCACAACCATGACTGGGAATATAGCTCAATTGGTAGAATACTTACATAGCATACAGGAAGAGTATGATGGTACCAGTCTATAATCCCAACACTTGAGAGGTAGAAGCAAGAGGATCAGAAGTTCAAGGTCATCCTTAGCTATACAGTGAGTTTGAGGCTAGCCTGGCCTACATAAGACCCTGTCTCAAAAACAGAAATTATACAATCAATCAGACCTGTTGACATACAACTATAACATCCACACTGGGAAGTGTCAGGAAGGAGAATCATAAAGTCTGGGCTACAGCAAGACCTATGTCAAAAGAAACAGATGACAGGGTATGAGGCTCAGTGCTACAGCTTCTTCTTGCATACACAAGGCCCCAGCAACACACACACTTTACAAGGCTCAGCAATTGAAGTATGTCTTTGGTCAGCCTAAAGTGGCTAGAAGGAAGATGAGGGCTGGTGAGATGATTGAGTGGTGAAGGCTAGAGCCACCAAGCCTGATGACCTGGGACCTACATGGTAGAAGACTGGAACAGACCCTGGAAAACTGTCCTTTGTCCTTCTCATGTACCCTGCAGGATGAACAATTCACACACACACTCATACTCGTTCTAAAAGGTGAGAAGAACCATAAAATAGAGCACTCAGGATGTGCCAGGTGCTAAAACAAATTATCTGTCTGTCAGGTAGATGTGCTGGAGTCTCAGTTCTCACAGCTTCTTCATCAGATCAATTCTACGCGGGACTTTGAGAGCATCCGATTGGCACACGATCACTTCCTAAGCAATCTTTTGGCACAGTCCTTTATTTTGCTGAAACCTGTAAGTAAGAGCGGGGGGGGGTTTCCCGAGGGCACTTCTAACATATTCCTTCAGGCTCTTGGAATTGACAAAATAGGAAACTATTAAGTCCTTGTTCAATTCCATTTTTACAAAATAGAGAGGCAGCAGTAAAAGGGAACTGAAATGTTGTTCCATAGGGTGTGGTGAGCAGGTGTAGATAAAGAACTGGGTATTTAATCCCCAGGAGGAATGAGTGTTACAGGAATCTGCCTGACTCTACAGCACCAGGATCAACCAATAAATTGAAAGTTTTCTTCATAGGCACATGTGTCTTATCATTCTGACTGTGTGTCCCATCTGCAAGTACACACATTTAGCACTTTTGTGGAAGCTCTCCTCGAGTCATCTGTGACCTTGTGACCATCTAAGGCCAAAGGACATCTAAGTCAAACATGTAGATTGGGGTCCAGGCATAAGTAATTTTTAAAGCACACAGCTGGTTCCAATCCTAAAATGAAAAGTGAGAAACTGAAATAATCCCTATAGTGTTTATACTTGAATGTCTGGGTGAACAAGTTGTACTGCTCAGGGCGCCAACCATAAATGGTATCGGCTTCTTTTTGCTCTGGTATTTGGGGCTGTTACTTGCCAAATAAGGGAAGAATAACTAAAGTAGTCAGTATTTCAAAGGGTTCTGTGAGCTTAAAAAAAAAAAAAAAAAAAAAAAAACACAGCAGTGATAGGCACTGTTCTTACATGGCATGGGTGTATCCTGAGGAAAAGCAGAACATCAGAACAGATCATCTTAATGAAGTCTTTATTGAGTGCTTACTGTATGCAAGGCACTGGGGATACAAAGAGGTATAAGTCATGGCTCTGCCCTTAAGGAGCTCACAATCTAGTTGGAAAAACAAGATGTACATACAAAAGTCAGCAACAGCACACATGACCTGGACAATTGCCAGTAAACAACACAGATACTACAACAGAGAAAGGCGGAGTTCACTAAAGGCTGCAGTGGGGAAGGACCATTTCTCAGAATGGGACTTGACTGGTACTAAAGAGAAAAGAAATCCCAGGAAACAGTGCTCATAGCTCAAAGGCAAGAGCACGCGCAGTGTGTCTGATAAAGGATGGTGAGCTACTGGCGAGTAGAGTGGAGGCTTTGTGCAGGGGGACAAAGAATGCAGCTGTCCCAGGAAGGGATGTTCATTTGCATGTTGTTTGGGAGGGCTAGACAACTTGAGGGTGGGTAGTGTCTGGAGTTCAGACAGGGGAGGTCAGCTATTATTTTCCCAAACCCTGCATTTTCAGAAGTTTCTTTCTTCATTTCCTAACACCAACTATATTTTTGGGTAGGTGTTTCACTGCCTGAATGAAATCCTAGATCTCTGTCACAGTTTTTGTTCACTGGTCAGTCAGAACCTGGGTCCACTGGATGAACGGGGGGCTGCCCAGCTGAGCATTCTTGTGAAGGTGAGTCTGCCTGGCCACTGGCTACATGCTCCTACCCCCACCCCGCTGAGCAAACTGCCTTTGCTCTGGCCCAGTAAAGCCTATCCCAGAACAGACAAAGAAATGACAAGATAAAAAGATAAAAGCGTTGCTATCAGTGGATATTGAAGATGATTAATGTACTGCCTCACAGTGTTCAGAAATAGTTCAGCCCTGAATAGGTTCAGCCCACCAAGTATGCATTGGCTTTGTGCTCATTTTCTCACATCCCACTTCCTTCCCTGAACCAGCCTCCCAGCTCACTTGTAATTATAATCTGAGACTATATTTATCTCCTGTAACAAAGCAAGCTCAGTTGCAATCCTGGTATGTGATAGAATATATTAATCTGAAATGAGCTTCAAATTATTACTAATGAGAAAGTACTTTCATGGAAGTCATGCATTTCACGGACATGGCATTAAGAAGTCAAGAGTCGTTTTAGGAGCTGACAGAAATGGGAATGTGGTCCTGAGAGGACCCCAGGCGCCTAGCACTCTGCACGGGTAGTGACAGCTTGGGTCTCTCAACAGGGCTTTAGTCGCCAGTCTTCACTCCTCTTCAAGATTCTCTCCAGTGTTCGGAATCACCAGATCAATTCAGATTTGGCTCAGTTACTGCTCCGGCTAGATTATAACAAGTATTATACCCAGGCTGGTGGGACTCTGGGCAGGTAAGAATAATCCTTGGGGAACTCATTAGGTTTGGGGAAGTTAATGAGTTGTAAAAGTCCAAAATGGAACTTTAACCTTCATCTACAAACGCCCTCATTTTATAAGCAAGGCTCAGAGATACAGGAAGTGGGGGGAAGGGAGTTATTTCATAATTTTTCTGGAGATTATGTAAAAATCATCAGCATGGTGAAATACTACAGCTGAGGGTGAATTCTGTGTTAGATTATGTATGTTCTAAGGGGCAGTGTGGCTTGCACAATCTGCTCTGACACGTACTAGCAGTGCAGCTGTGGCACCATGCTTCACTGGCCACTGCCTCTTCTAGACTTCTTTAAATCTAATAATGACATCCAGTGGTAGCTGGCTCCTCAGCGGTGTCATTCTTTCTAGTTTTAGCAGAAGCCAGACATGTTTTGGAGTATCAAGGTAACATCAGCTGTATCTCAGATGACCATGCTTCTTGGGAAAGCATAGCATTTAATGAAACTTTTTTTCTTTTTTATAGTTTTGGGATGTAAAAACTGGTTCTTAAAATGAAGTAACCATCAGTCCTACCACGCTCTGATTTCTGTAATAAGCCTCCCCAGGCATCACAAGATGCCTGCAGACTGGTGAAAGGATGCTACCTTTTCTTCTAGAAGCAGTCCAGAGGTCCTCCCTACCATTCCTATAGGGGAACTGGGGCCAGCTATCTCTCGACCACTCAAAGGCTTTGTTCCTTTACACTAAGACATCTGTTGGGTAGGTTCACTTGTGCAACAGCAGTGTATTGAACATTTACTATGTACCTATGGACTCTTCAAGGTATGGAAGATACCACAGAGAACAATGGGAACCAATAAAATGTTTAGGATTGGTTCACATGTAAAGAAGAAATTCTTATGTAAAGGTCAGCATCTAGTTGTTACCACCAACTTAGAAAAGACTTTCCCTCCTCTGTACCACATAATTTATAACTATACAGATTGTCTTTAGTTTTCAGAAATTTAAGATTTAAGAGCCTCCCTCCTTTAAGGATATTCAAAACCTGACCTCAACAATTCAGCCAGTAGGTTCTCTAATTCTTTCAGACTGGCAATAGGGGGTAGTTCTAGCTAAAGATGACAGCGGTCAAATTGTTCAGATGTTAGACAGTGAAAATTGCAAACTTCTCCCTATGCTCAGATAGTGAAGTCACTAATGTTCCTATCAGCATAAACAAAGGAAATACTCCATTAACATACCTGCCCTCCACAATGGACAAGAGTGCAGTCTTTGGGCCTATCTGTAGTCCCTGATTGTTCTCTTCTTTTACCACCCACTGTGAAAGCCTGTACTTGTCAACTACAGAGGATCCCTTCCATTGTTACCTCTAGAAGCAAAGCATGGCAGACAATGGCCTACTGCTTGTTTTTATAAATAAAGTATTATTCAAACAATCACACATACTCATTTACCTAATGTCTATGATTGATTTCATCTCACAGCAAAAGACAAGAAATTGTGACAGACGAAATGACTGTAAACCTAAAGTATTTACTGTTTGGCTCTTTATAGAGAGCATAAAGACTAGTAAGTAGCCTTGATTTAGAGAGTGACAGGTTGTTTGTTAATGGGGACAATGTTGAGTGCCAGGAAGGAATGGCTTCCAGCAGTTGTGACAGTTAACGCTTGCTTTACAGAAAATTGTCCCGTCAAGTTCATTGTCACTGTCCATTCATACCAGTTGGTCATCTTCCCTTTCAGCTCTGAGTACCACAGATCAGCTGTTAATAAGCTCAGGTCTTAATGGTCTTGATACCCAGAGTGTCCTCGACCCCGTTCAACTTTGGCACTGTTTATCTAGGCCCTCTTGTACTCTAAGCAGAACATTTTAGATGGCCTGGGATAACCTTGTGACTTTGACGGTGGTGCCACAGGATAAATTTCATTCCTACATTTTTATCTTCCTTTGTTTGCTGTACTGCTAAAGTGATGATTAAACCTGCTGGGAAACTTAAGAGAAGATCCTGTAGTACCATGTTCTGAGATTAAGCTCAAAGAAACAGATGAAGAAATCTCAAGTTACTACAACCAAAAAGAGTCAACATTTATTTTATCATAAAAGTTCAGCAAATAAAACTATGTACAAGATTCATGCAAAGAATACAATTCCACACAAGACACACTTAAAACCTGATTAAAACACAATCTCCACAATAGCAGGGATAAAACCAGTAAGACCAAGTATCTTCAGTGAGAAACATAATCATGTTTATATTTTGGATGCTGTTTGAATCCAATTCTCTCCCCAACAATGAGGCACTGGATCACCCACTCTTGTGACACCACAGGCAGCTGCAAGGCTTCAGCACACTTGAGCACCGAGGCTGGGCATGAGGGGTCTGTCACCACCACATCAAATACCCCTAAAGCAATGTCTGCAAGAAGTAGGGGGAAGTGAATGAGGAAAGAACACTCAGTTTAGCTCTTATTAAAAGAATAGGTGCCTTCTAGCCAGTATTCCTACTCTGCCAACCAAAGCCCTCTTACAGATACTGTATATTCATAGCCTAAAAGTTGTCATCACCACTTGCTAACCTTGTAGACCTAATAAACAGAAATGCCACTGGAGACTATAAAAGCAGGAACAGCTTTTGACCTTCTCTTACACTAACCCATCCTTTTGAAGATGGGACTTCTCTTAAAAATAATGACTGAGACTTGGACCACACAGGCTAACAGCTGTGAGTCTATGGACATCCCTGGAATGACAGCGAACACACACTTTCCAGGTACCTTTGTTATGGGCACTTGAATGGTGCTGCTTCACGGAGGCTGCCCCTCCAGTCATGAGGATCTCAGACCAGAGCTCCAGGAAATTCTGTTGTTGATCTGACACCAAGAGTACCTTCAGATTCTGGAAAGGGTTTTCGCGGGGTTGCCTATGAAGGAGTTGGAGATGCAGTGTTTGGGAACTGGAAAGAACCTTAGTATGACCCGTCATAACTAACGATTAGCTCATCTAGCTTATCTGCAAAGGCACTCACTCCTGCACATCCGAATGCTTCCCTAACTAGGTCACGTAGTGGACTAAGTCCTGCCTCTCTTCTGATGAGGTATGCACTCTGGGATCCTAGACTTTATTAATAAGCCAATCAAGTTATGCTTCTGAGTTCCCTCCCTTTTAAGTTTAATGATTGAAACTTAATCCTAATCTCAGTGCTTCCACTAATAGGGGATACTGGACCTAATCTTCCCACATCTTCGGAAGGTTCCCAGCCAATGTAGAATGAGACGAGAGCAATAAAGTACTTGACTCCAGAAATCATTTCAAATGTCTACAGACATTCCAGTTTCTAGTAACACTGTTTTCCCAACTAGATTACTAGACTTTCCTTAAAAGCTAGTCTTCCTATTGTCTCGGCTCCAGACGGGCTCCCAAACACTCACCAATCCAGAATTCTCTGCTCCTCAAGGCTATACCCAGCAGGCAGCAGGTAATTACGGTAGTTTTGGAGCTGGTTGGCATGGCAACTGTCATGGACCCAGACATGAGACACACAAGGAATTCCACTGGCAAGGCACAGGAAGTACTTCCGGGTTCGGCAATGCTGATCCGCAATTAGGAGACACTGGTAGGCTGTGTTACACTGGAAGAAAAAGAGCCCAGCTGACAGGTCTGGTGGTGTCTAGGGAAACCTTTCCTGACTGCACCTGATATATACCCTCGAGAGCCAATATGAAGAATTCTAGTTGGTATCAAAAATACCATTTAATCTGTGTTCATACCTAAGGCTGTGTTGTTCACTGAGAAGCCCAAACTGCTTTCTGAAACATTTACCCTATCACACCTATGGCTTTTGGAAGACCTAAATCTCAAGGGTCAACCATACCAGGTACCCACCCAACCTTCCAGGCTAGAGAATCAGCAAAACAATAGCTCTATTGCTCTCTCAACACCACTACCACCTAACCCCGGGTTCTAGCTTCTCTTCCTGTACAATGAAAATGCTGGGCTGAGGTGGCAGAATGGCACAGCACTCTGAAATTCAGCCAACTTCCCAAACCCCTCTTGGCCCTTTTCTCAATACAGAAAGTGAGTAGCCAGAAAAAAAAAACTGCCTCACCTGGGCTTCATTGAAGTCTTCAAGGATATACCCAGCTCCTGCTCGAAGCTGGCATTCTGTATACTGCTTGTTGAAAGGAGGAATTTCTAAAAATTCTATATATACATAGAAAAAAATAACCAAATTATTTTTAATAATAATGGTTGGTTTCCTAGGTGCTACTTTAATGCCTATTTGTAACTGCTGCTTCCTTTTCTATTCTGCAGTTATCTATAAAGGCTTAGACAGACACATAAGATTTATTAATTTGAGGGACTCCCATTATTCAGTCAGCTTTCTGAGCTATACAGCACCAAGCAACACACGCTTATATGGAACTGCTGTGTGAAGTCTGGTTTCAAGGGCTAGGTTGTTATAGCAACACTGGAACAACAAGGCTGCAAACCATCTTTAACATAATGCCAGGCAGCTGCAGCGACTCCTAACACTGAGATCGGGCTAGGTCACTGAGTGCATACTTTTTCCTCCACAGTACCTATCTGAATTGTGTGACACAAACTACATCTGCTCTCATAGCCCAGCTGCCCATCACCAGAGTATCTCTACTCAGATTTTTCATATGCAGCTTCCAAACCATAGAAATCTTAAATGTAGCTCCACTGATCTCTTCCCATGCCCTGTGCCGTATGTTTCTGAGGCTAGAACTGGCGAGTAGTTAGGAAAAATTAAAGTCATAACACATCTTCAGTTGTACCATTTTATATCAATCATCTTCCTTCATTTTGATTCCTTTCTTGTAAGACTCGACATTAGTTGAAACTCTACCTGGTTTTTTATTTTATTTATTTATTTTCTTTTTTCAAGACAGGGTTTCTCTGTTGTAGCCTGGCTGTCCTGGAACTCACTGAAATCCGCCTGCCTCTGCCTCCCTGATTGCTGGGATTAAAGGCGTACACTACCACCGCTACTGGCTTAACTCTAACTTATAAACAACATTCTATCTAGTTCTTAGCTAGCTTGGACAGACATCTGGAGATTTCTGTCACTCACTATATTTGATCTACACATTGTCTCCTACACCACACACGTGCCAGACCTCTGAGATACATGGCAGTCCACTGGACTACAGATTCCACATAGACACAGAGTGAGAGATGCCACATAAATGACATAATTATTTTAAGGTTAATGAGAGGTCCAAGAATTGAAAGGGCCTAGAAGCTAATTTCCTAGGGCACTGGGGACACCACAGTCTCTTCTATTCAGAATAAAACTCATCCTCCACATGGGTTTTCTTAAGTAGGTGCTAGAGCGTAAATGGAAAAGGTGGCAAGTCATCAGAAACATGGTTGATTTGTATGGTTCTAGGAAGGTAAAGCCAGCACCGTGTTCTAATCCCATCTGCCATTATTGTTGAAAAAAAAAGCAATTTAACTTTGATGGATTTTTATCATTCATTTTCTATATGAAGAATGAGACTCCCTAGGCCAGGAAGATAACTCAGCAGGCAAAGGCACCACCAAGCCTGGAAACTTGAGTTTGACTCCCTGGGACCCATTAAGATAGAAGGAAAGAGAACTGATTCTTCCAAGTTGCCCTTGGGTAACAAATATA